GTGTTTGGGGGATGCTGCCGATTCCGATGGTATAGGACACGGCTCTGTGCGATGACGTTTTCATTTCGCTAAATCACAAAAACTGGAAAACCTATTTTAATTAACTCCTCTGAAGCCGCAAATCCGATCGCCACCAAACTTGGCACGGACGATCTCTGGACTGAGCCGATAAAACTTTTTAGAGGGAATCTTGATCCGCCAAAATTCATCCCAATTACAAGCTAAATGTTTGCGCAAATGCTAAAAACAAGAGGCTAAGTCAGATCTTATGTTTGAAATGTCCGATCTACACCAAACTTGGGGACCTTATCTGGCACGCCCTCCCAAGGGGCTGTGTGAAATTTGGCGTAAATCGTCCTCTAGGTGGCGCTATTACTTGGAAATCAAATACCACTCCCATAGACATACATTCATTTCAGATCTCCGTAACTGCAAGCCCCTTTCATTTATAACTCTGTGGTGGCCTGCACCAGGAGGCTTGGACCCCGCTTACAACTGCTTGCAGTTCTAGTTGTTTTTGTTTTTTATTTTTCTTATGTTTTAAGCACAACTTTTCTTTTGAAGTATCCACTACACACATTTATCATTATGTGCTCGTTAATAATGCTTAAATTATTCCTGACCACTTTGCATCTGGACTAACAAAATGTTTGCCTAAATGGTTTCTTGTCCTTACCTGCATTTGGATTCAGCTGTATGACAACACCCGTGAAAATAAGAGCTAAAAAGAAGCGGTACAAAAGCACGTCACTGAAGTGGGAGATAACACAGTAAATTTATTTTTTTTCATCAATTGGCAAAAATCTGTTACACAGAGAAGATCAACAAGGGGACAAAGTTCAGTGTGCCAAGCATGTCACTGAATGACACAACACTGAACAAACTACCTGGTGCAAATTTGCAGAACTAGTCAAAGCGGTGTGTTTACATCAAAATAATGGAGCACGAGTACAATTTTATATGAAGCTGTTTTTTGTCAAACCTGTTTCTATGCTGTTTATTCATTTTGCATTTTAGTCACTTAAATGTCATTTCATTTATTTCATCCAAGGAAAAAGCTAAACAAATTGAAATTCCTGAACCATCTGCTGTACATTGCAAACAACAAATCTTAAAAAAGGTAAGCACCTTTAAGGCCATTTGTTATTCCTGGGACTCTACGATAAACATTTTTTTTTTTTATCTCTTTGAGGTGAGACTTAATCACAGCAAAATCCGGTTGATTTATTATAGTTAATTAGTAATAAACAGCTCTGCTTAAGACTTACCAATTCCAGTGATGAGGAGAAGGAATGAAGCCAGAACGACTTTTCTGTTTTTCTTCACCAGCGGATGGGACACCCACCTGAGCAACACATTTTTTTTTTAAAGTAACTGTGTTTGTTGTTGTTCCTGTGTGAGTGAGTGCATGTGTGTGTCTGAACTTACCCACAGCACTGTGCAGACAGCTGTGTGACAGAACTCAAGGTGCTGAAGGACCACTGGGAGCTGCAGTAAGAAAGGGTTGCAGGATCACTGCGGAGAGAGCAGAAACACATTCAAAGAACAGTGCAGGCAAAGGAGGGGGAGCAAAATCACAATCAGCAGCCCTACATAAAGAACCCACCTGATTTTGAAAAAGTTATTGAAAGAGGAATTGCCATTGTTGCCAAAGGCATCTTCATTTTCCAGATTCTAAAGAACCAGAAGATGATAAAGGAGTTGAAGTTTCAAGTAAACAACTTTCAGGCCTATACTTGCAGGCATAGTGATGTGCTGTATGTGTACCTGGTACTTTAGGTTACTGTGATCTAGAGAGGCGCCAGCGGGGGCAGCTGGTGAGGGATGAGTCTGAGGTTTGGAGAAAGTTAAGGGGCCGAATGTCATCTCTCCTCCTTCCCTGTCTTTGTCTCTGCCCTTCCATCCCTCTGTCTCTCCATCAGAAACAGCTCCCTCCTCATCTCCCTCCAATACAAAGGCATCATCGATAGTAAACTGCATCGCCATGGCGTTCGCCTCTTACACCCCCAGGTCCTGCAGCTTGATGCTCACTGTGGGTTCAGAAAAAAAATAAAAAATAAATCAATGTTCATGTACTCACAGCTACAAAAGACATTTTATGGTAACGTTATATTTTTGCAGCATAATCGTCTAAAATGCTGATCTATGTATGCCACAGAAATGTAGTGCACGGGGTTATGGACATAAATATTTAAAGTACGCGCACACATGCAAATTGCCAGGAACTCCGTATCTGTTATGCAACAAACTTAAACCACTTTGTACACATCTAAAACAGCGATTACAGCCATAAAGTCAGAAAACAATCACGGCACTCCCTCGACTTGGCCTAAATATGTGAGCGGGTCGGACCAAAGTGAAGTAAAATCAACAAGTAGCTAACTGGCCGTGTTGGTAGCCTCTTCCATTGTTCGTGGTCTTTCCGTTAGTCGATCAGATGACCAGGAGGAAAACTTACTGTCTTAAGTAAATATTTTCTCCAGGGAGGCTGAACTCGACTCCACGATGTGAAGACACGGGTCACATACTTGGACACTCTGTGGCGACTCTTTATAAGTCCTTCGGAACAATCTTTTGTTTTGTTTACGAGTGGGAAAAACGCTTTGGGAAAAGTTTTGAGTGTCTTCCTTTCTCTCTCTCTCTCTCTCTTTTTAACACCCGGCTCTCGATTACACACGACTGATTACGCCCAAAGCGCTCATCAGAAGTCAGTCCACTTAATCGAGCGTTGGTTTGTCGATCGACCTCACCAACTTACATAGGCTAAGTGGTGGAGGAAGTATTCAGATCCTTTACTTGAGTGAAAATACTATTACCAGACTGTAAAAACAATCCATTACAAGTAAAATACATGCATTCAAAATTATACTTCAGGCTTCAGTATATAAGTATATAAAAATACACTTACTCGAAAGATTACCCCTATTATCATATTATACTATTATCATTAGACTATTATTACTCATGCATTAAAATGTAAGCAACATTTTATTATTGTAGTTACTTTAAGTGTATTTTATATAGGGCCCCAACTAATTCAGCTACTGATTAATATTAATTGTTTCAGCTCTACTTGAATATTTTGTTGGGTAGAGTAGTTTCATCTAAAACAAAACATCATAATTTCTAAGCTTTTAGTACGTTTTGAATGCAAAACTCTTAATCTGTAAGGCAACTGTATATCCAGCCCCAGTCAACCTGACAATGTTAGATAAAGGGGAACAAGAGATTTCAGGTGCAGCTGGACTTGAGCATAAAAACAACTCATAGCAATGAATAAATGCTAAAACACTAAGGGTTTTTCAATTTCTTGTGGATAAGCTAATTTAAACAAATAACTATGTACATATAAATATGACACTGGGCCAGATGTTCAAATCCACTGTCCAAATATTTATTATTAAGGCTTTTAATTCGCTGAAGTTTTATCACTCTTTCAGGTACTTAGTTCATTCATTAGTATTCAGTAGCAGTGTACTTGACTACTGACTAGAATCAGATAAATTACTGTGTGGATGCAATTTGTATTAAACCGAGATATCTGCATAAATATTGTTCACACACATGACATTTTTAAATGCTAAAGCAGTGTTCCACTTTACCGACAAACGTGTCCCACTCAATGGGAAAATTATACCACAAAAAGGTGTCAGGTGGTGTTTCTGACCATATAACTTATTTTTTAAAGAAATTCTTTAATTTGATTTCACGCTTGGCATGCTGATCTATTTAAATGAGTCAACATCACTTTAGTTAGAGTGGTCAGACTCAAAGTCTAAAGAGCAACTCTCCAAAAAGTGTCACACTGGACCTGAAAGTACCCATTTTAATGACACTGTTACATGTGGGTGTCGTGCATCTACTTTATGTACTGTTGGTCAATGTAATCTATAGCAGTCTGTATGAAACCAAATCCCTGCGTATTGTTTTTAATCAAAAATTGATTCCATTAATAATGATGAAATTAATGTGTTTTTAATTAGTTTTTATGTATAAATAAACAGATTGTAATGCATTAAACCATCTTAACATGGACCAAATAAACATGGCCCAAAAGTCATCCCTTAATGTATATTAAATTGGTGAGTATTCAGGGAGGACTGTTATGATGTTGGGTTTATGAAGGGATTTTAAAGCCCATTAAAACCCCTTTAATATATGATAATCTAAATTAATGTAATTCAAATAAATTAATCCAGTATTTAACCTAAAATGTGGGGATAATCCCTGAATTGGCGCCCTAGTTGTAAAATGAAGGTATTAAATGGTACCTGTAATTTTTAATGCAGAAAACACCTGTAAAACACCAGTCCATTAATGTATCCTAATCCTAATGACCACAGTGGCTTCTTAAAATAAGACATCAAATAGGCTCTATTGAAATTATTAATAGAAATAATTGTTTCTTTTTATTAATGTATTAACAAATTATAATTAATACTAGTCTGTGATTGAGCCAGTACAAAGTTTCACAAAATGAAAGCACTGAAGTATAGTGAAAAGTTATCTAAAAACTATACTTACTGATAAATCAAACTTGGCAAAGTACCTCAAGTTAGGGATCATGATGTGGCCAGTACCCACAAACATTAAAATAAAAAACTGTACCTAAAATGTACTAATTCATTTTCTCATTCCATTAAAACACTTGTTGGCACATTGCCTGGAAACGCTGTTTTCTGCCAATTAGCACAAACTCAGCTTGTGTTTGCCTTCCACTACGGCGTTGTCCGTGTATAGTACCCCATGCAACCTTAGGCAAAATCAAATTATGCAGAACACTTCAGGCAAAAACATTTTATCATGCAAATTGGAAATGAGCCGAAGTGAAAACTCCTTTTCCACCCCCAACTACTCACAACTGCATGTCCATGTCAAGATTAAGTAGAGATAATTGTTTATAAAAGCCTGGACTTATTATCCAATTTGATAACTGTTGCCAACATGTGAAATCATGTGATTTCCAGCAAGTCAGACAACCTGCATTGTGCAAACAAACATCTCTAAACCAACAATCATAGATTAGTCATTGTTGGTTGCAGTTTAGGGGAGCAGACACTCAGAGGTGGCAGATGGAGTGAACAGTGTTCGGATGTAGCAGAAACATTACTGGTAAAAAACTGGTGACTGAATTTGGATACATTTGGAAATTGAAGAGGTGTGAGTTATTTCATGTTTTTCTGACTTTCTGTTGAATAATCACTGAATCAAAGCAATGCTATTTACAGTAAATTATGCATTACTGTTATAAACAACTATACTTTATCTTCTAAATTTTTTTATGGGATTATTGTCTGACATGGGTATATTTAGCTGTAACTACAGATGATCACAGTTTAAAACGTTTTAATAGTGGGGAACATCACTATGTTTTACAGGTTGCGCCACCTATTGATCTTTTTCCTGGCTTGGTGCCATATTCATTTTGAAATCCTCACTTGCAAAACAATTCCATCAATTTGCTAATCTCATTCTACTCACTTTGCTCTGCTTTAGATGAAACTACAGGCCAAACTTTGTCTCTTGCTGCAGCTCATTTTTGAGGTAAACATACCTGAATACCTCTTTATAGCAGAACCAATATCTTCCATAACTATAACCAAAGTGCTTAAACTTCACCCTTCTTGACTTTTATGAATACTGTAGTTTGTTTAACACTGTGTTTCTGTTTAGCTTTCTTCATGCACACATGTCCGGGTGATTCCTGGTTCCACTCTGGAGCTGCCCTGTTTCTCATTTCAGACTGAGTTCAATGAAGCGGCCCCCATCTGGAAATTCAATGGTCTCATTATATTTCCGTTACTACCAAAACCACCACCACTATTCTCACTGCATTGCAAAAGTACACAGTTATATAGTTTTTTCAGTGTGATCTTTTTCTGAATACAGGTAATGATGTAAGTGCTCAGTCGCCTGGCTCAGCTAAAGTTAAAAAGAATGGCCGGTATCTCTCTATATCCCCGGTAACTGCTGCCAATGAGGGCGAGTACGTGTGTTTGTTTATGCAGGAAAATATGGAGTTGATCAGGACATATAACATTACAGTTGATGGTGAGAAACATAGAGACACACTCCTCTTTTATCAGATATCGTACATGCATTTTGGATCAATTCGAAGCTGAAAAGAGTTTGAAGTGCTTGTGTCTCTCTCTACAGCAGTAATTGGCTATACCATTAAGGTCAACTTTGGAACCAACGTTAAACTCCCTTGCCATTTCCCACCTTCCAGCCAAATCACGGCCAATGCACTTTGGTTCAAAGAGACAGATGTTGGCGAGAGGACACAGCTGAATCTTGGAGACGAGTCAACAGTGGATGATAACAGAGTGGGCCTGATTTATCCATTTGACCATGATCAGACCATCGTACTCAGAAATACCGTCTTGGAGGATGCTGGAATTTACAATTGTGAATCTGTTGATGGGGAGAAGCTGAGCACTGTATACATTATTGTTGATGGTAGGTATGGCAACCTTTTCTATATGCTACTTACTGCACCGTACGTGCAATTTAGAACCATTAATTATTATAGTAAATAATAAACCAACAAGCTCCAAATTACCATTGCTTTTAACAGCATTTTACGCTTAATGAATACAAATTTCCAATTTCAAAAAAATTAAAATTAGCTACAGCATTTATGTACATTTTTTCCTGTCTGCTTAACTTTCTTTCAGCTGCTTCCACCCCTGCTCCACACACGTGCAGCAACTTCACCACAGCATGGGAGCCCTGCCTGGAAGAGAACAGTCGCACAGCTGAACCCACGATGCAGGAATCCATAACAGACTTTTCCATAAAGCTGTATTCTTACCTCAGAGAATCAAATCCCTTTAGCAACTTGCTCTTCTCTCCCATCAGTATCAGCGGTGCACTATCCCATTTGCTGTTAGGTATGTAGTAAGTTCCTTTTTTTTATCAATATATTTTTAGTCTTAATTATTCTTCAATATTCTTATAAGCCTGATGATATTCTATATTTTTCTTTTTGCCAATATATTCAATGAAAAGACCAAAACCAAGGATGTTGCCCATGTGTCAAAAAGACCTCCATGGTTGTCCAAATACTGTCTAAAACGCATCAGTGAGAACAATAGTTGCAATGTATGGCATGCTTCTTCATTACGATGAACATGGGCACTGTTGTTTACTTTGAGTTGGCCCCACATACACTGTCCTGCCACCAGAAATACTTGCTAGTGCAGGAAATCTACCACTGAAAATAGTGATACTGAAAAATTTTGATCTTTTTATGGGATTTGTTGAAAATAAGAAACACATAGAATAACGCCACCCTTATCCTTAAAAATTCTTGAGTCTGAAAGGCAACATTATCGCTTTGTTGCCTGTGCACACAAAAAACTTTTATTTGAACAGGATGTTGCATAAAAATATTTCTTACTTTGAAATGTCACAATTTTCCTCTACTTATAGTAAATGTCAGACATACCTTGCAGTTTCTTATATCACTCTGAAGCACAGTACATCTCTTTCTATATTATTATGTCTTTTCTTCATCCTGTTACCTTTAGGTGCAAGGGGGCCCACCCGCAAAGCCATTGAGACAGCTGTATGCTTACCTAATGGCTTCAGCTGTGTTCACTTCCAGATGAAAAAGCTGAGAGAGAAGTTGGCCAGCTCCTTGCAGATGGCTTCTCAGATCTACTACAATCCACGTATAACTATCACAATCACAAAATAGAAAATCCAAAGAAGAGAAATGCGATAGAGATAGATGGAGAGATTCTGAGTGCATAAAAAGCAAAAAGGATCTTTATCTCTGTAGCTCATCATAGTTTCTCTGCTCTCTTTTTCAGAAATGAATCTGAGTGAGTCCTTTACTAAACAGTCCATTGAGTTCTACGAAGCTGAGCCCACCAGGCTGCTGGAAACCAGCGAAGAAAGCACACAGATGATCAATAGCTGGGTGGCAAACAAGACCAACAATAAAATCAAGCACTTAGTTGACTCTGTGTCACCCAGTACACAGATGATGCTGCTCAATGCCGTCTCCTTTAGTGGTCAGTTAAGTGTGTGTGCATAATGTGTGTGTGTGTGTGTGTACGTACATGTGAACATGGTGCAAACTAAAACAAACTTTGTGTATGTGTGTGTCAGGTCAGTGGAAGGTCAAGTTTGATCAGAAACCCAAAAAAGGACATTTCACAAAATTGGGCGGTGATATGGTTACGGTGCCGCTCCTCTATCACCAGAAATACATGGTGGCTATGACCTACGTGGTTGAGTTAAAGGCACAGGTAACAAACACCCATCTTAACCCCACCCTTTCACACTTACTATATACGGCAGAGGCTTTCAAACTGTGAGGATAGTTGGGGGGTTAAATATATACTAAGTGAAAGGCAATTAAGGTACTTTAAAACCCTTAGCGCCTGAAATTTGTAATCCTTCTCCAAGTCAGAACTTACAGACACACATGAAAACAAATGTTTTTATATCCAGTGTTTCTTACACTTTCTATGATATCATCATAACTGATGAACATCCATTAAAATCCCTTGTAATCATAGAAGGAAATACGCTCCAGTAACTCCAGAACATGCCTGAGAATCAGCATGTTTTTAAGTTTTCTTCAGTGTCAAGTAATCCAGTGATAGTTGTCTAAACATCTATGAGTACATTGCAAACACGAATGGTTAAAAGCTAATTCGGTATACTTGTGTCAATTTGACAAAATTTAATCAATTATAGGCAAAAATACTTCCTGTTAACATCTCCTAAAACACTATAGGAACTGAGTAGACGGGGGTCCTGGGGGGCACAGTTGTCTCACTTTTGTGTGTGGGAGGGTGGCATTGTTGGACTTTGAAAACCCCCGGCAGTAACACCTAGATTTTTTTATTTTGCCAACAGGTGGCGAGGTTTGCTCTCACAGGTGACAGCAGTCTTTACGTCCTGCTGCCTCGCTCCAACACAGCGACTGACCTGCAGCAGGTGGAGCAGATGATGACGTATGGAGCTGTGCGTCACATGATAGAAAAAATGAAAACAACATCTTCTCAGCATGTAGAGGTCACTCTGCCACAAATCAAGCTGGACTTTCAGCCAGACATGAACATACTTATCAAGAAATTTGGTATGTTCATCTTTCATGTTCCCTTCTGTCTGTCAGAGTCTAATTCAGTTGATCATAAAATGAATACCACACTTTCAGCTTGCCTATTACTTTCTGCCAGGCAGTAAGACAGCTATTAAGTCTTATTTATGAAATAAAGATACCCATCTGCTTTTTAAACTCCCTGTATCTGATCAGCTTACTTGCTTCCGTCATCTTTCTCCCCCCCCCCCCTTCACCGACCAGGATTGTCGTCACTCTTCGAGGATGCCAACCTGTGTGGCCTCTTCTCCGAAGAGAAGGTGCTTCTGGACGATGCCAGACACAGAGCCTTCCTCGCACTGTCCGAGCAAGGAGTAGAGGCCGGAGCCGTCACCTCTATGTCGTTCTCTCGCTCCTTTCCTTCCTTCACTGCCCTGCGACCTTTTATCATGCTGCTGTGGAGTGACCAGGCCAATGTGCCACTCTTTATTGGGAGAGTGACAGACCCGTGAGAGAAAGAAGGGGGTAGACAGACAGACACGGAGAGGAGTGGAAATGTAACAGAGGCAAATGGGCAGGAAAATAAACAAAGATATCGTAAATAAAGGCTGTCTGATAGCAAGTGAAATCTTTTAATTATCTTGCAATGCTTTTTCTGAAAATTCAGTTGCTTTTTAAACACAACCTAAATTCTGCATCAGTGTTGCTTAGAGTAGGAGCGACCCTCAGAAACATATATACAGACCTGCATGTGTACTGCTTTCAAAGATGACAATGAATAAACACCACACATATGCTGAATGTCATGTGTTTTGAAGAACTAAGCACAGTGTGGCTCACGTGTCATTCAAAGGAAGACAGACGACCAATGAAACAACTTCAATTTATTTAGCGAAGTAGTTACACAAACCCACCACGGGATGGCAGCCATACTGTGTGATTGACATTGACAGTGACTACACAGGAACAGCAGTAATGAATTCCCATCTCATTCTCACTGGCCCTCCTGCATCATTACCACTGATATCACTTTAAGGAAGACAAGTGTCAAAATCTGTGACAGAAAAGTTTTTTTTTTTTTTTTTATCAATAGCTTGCTTGGTAAAGCACAGCGACTGAGCAAAAAATACCCTGAATCATCATATTCACAAACAAACACATACAGACTCATGGTAAGAGACTGAATGGATGGCATAGATTGTAAACACATCAGCATTCAGAATGATCAGCTAAGGTTGCACTCTATTACACAAGCTGATGGTGATTGCTAAACATGCAGCTGTATTGCAGATAAAATTATTACATAAGCAAAGCGGGGTCAATAGACAAGAGTCAGAAAATTCGGTGGCTGTAAACAAAACCAACAGATCCAGACACAGGGATAAGCAAGCATCCAGCCAGAAATGTGAACTCTATTAGATCACTGTCACCCAGCCTAGCCCCAATCAGAGTACTGAGTATTCCCAGAAATGCATCTTTGATGCCTGGATAACACGATCATGTTCTTGTTTTGGTTTGATTATCTTACTGCTCACGTGTTGTTTTGATGTGCATAGAAAAAGTACAGAATAAACCCACCATCCTTGCCCAAACCTCTTGTTAAATTCATTTAAGGTCTAACTGAAAAGTGTTTAAGTTTACTGTTACAACACAAGCTTTTCATAATGCCCAAGCCCTTTTTTATTCGAAACCTAATTCACCACTGAAGGTCCATCCATTTTTTTTTTTTTTTGCAGTCAATGATGAAGGTTGTTGAAGGACAGCAAGAAAATGAGCAGCCGGATCGATTCAACAGTTAGAAAAGTCCCGGAGGCCACTGACCGACTGTGGGTGTGCTTTTGTGAACCAGTGTATGGCCAGAGCTGTAGTGGCAGATGAACCGGGGGAGTACATTTGATATCCTGGCAGGCATTTAGACAATTCAGTGATAGTCTAGCCCATATACATCATCAATATGCAAAGATGTGCATAGAGACACACACAACATGCATGGGGGTTAAGGTTAAGTGTGCAATCTTGCGTAGTTTTTAAATATCTTGGATCCTAGCCTGCGATTATACACTGTCCCCTGCTGCAAAATATGTTTCCATGCAGGTTGGGGGGGGGTACACTCTCTATGTCTGCATTTCTACTAACTGCACACAATATACCTCAGCAGTCAAGCAGCAGTCCCAGTGGTCTTGTCTCCTGTCCAGAGGATGAAATATATTCCACTATAGGCCTAATATTTAATAGGTCAGAAGTAATGGGATGACTGGAATAATGATCCCATCAATGACTCCCTCTGATGGTTGATTTCAGCTAAATGTCTTTTACATATTTTCTTTCAGATCCTCTCAAGGACAGTGTCTGACAGTGTACAAAGGTGGATTAGGGGAGGTGTTCAATCTTTGGGCAGCCCTATTGTCATAAATCAAATTACAGGACCAATGAAATGCCTGAATTTTCAAATTAATATATTACTGCCGTGATATTGCCCTGCAGGGAGAAAATCTTGCATCATCTGTGACTCTGTCGGAGCAGAATTGGAGACACTGAGGTAAACCTGATCCTGGTTCATAACGCAGCAGCAGAGTGAAGGTACAAATGGTACCTCCAAAAGCAATATCCGCTCTGCCTGTCACGGACACATCTTTTTCCATCAGGAAAGTCAAAAAGAGCAGTCAGAGGTTATGTATCAAGATATACTCCATTCTTAAAGTTGCTCTATGACAGTCTGGCAAAAGGGAGAGAAATGGAAAGAGAGAGAGAGATGGCAAAGGTCTGGCACACACGATTGACAGCTTGTCAGTGTCCTCCAGCCAGGATCACCCATACCACTGAGGTCTATGGTGGAGGTCAGCGGAGGATTTCTCTCTTGTATGCCTATTTCTTGTCCTTTGTTATTATTTCTTCACTCCTCTGTGTTTTGGAAGTTGAATGGAGACATTTTGAATAGGGCATGACGTGAACACAGACAGACATAAAATGTAGGCACTCATATTCTCATAGCCCTCATGCACACACACACACACACATGTTAATGTCATGATATGAAGGTGTATAGAAAGCCACTGTCACTGAAAGACAATGAAAGACATAAGAACAAGAACACTGAAACCGTAAAGGTACAAATCCACCAATGGATCGTATTGTGCTTTATAATACGGTGTGTTGTTTTGCATCAGATCAACAACCACTAAAACAGAGACTTTCCAGAAACAGAGTCACCCTTTTCGTAATGTCCCCTCTCCTGTAACTATTTACCGCATTTACTTTTGGCCACTTTCACTGAATTAATTTTGAGTACATTGGTCTCAAATCTCTTCATTAGGTGTAAATTTGAATAACGGAATATGAGTGACTTCCACAATACAGTAAGGTCTAAAGCACAGTTTTGTGAGTATTGTTTTGTTACGTCAACACTTTAATGAGGACATCGTCACAATTTGGTTCACCTTTAGAAAAAAATACATTTTAAAAAATGTATTCAGATTACACATTATTACCATCACTAATATTAGTATGATTATCATATACTAATACTTGGTAATTATTGGCGTTATATGATGGGTTCCATTTTCAACATTATTATTATTATTATTGCATGTTTTATCCTTTGCTCTTATTACTACTTTACTTGGTATCTGTTATCAACCATCTTTCAGTGAGACAAATGTGTGTGTGTGTGTGTGTGTGTGTGTGTGTGTGTGTGTGTGTGTGTGTGTGTGTGTGTGTGTTAGTGCGTATGTGTTTGTATGCATGGATGTCTTGTGTAATCTAGTCCGGTTTGTCACCGCTCGGGGCTCCTTGCTGTGTGAGCGTATGCCAGTGCTCCACTTTCTTCCCTTTGTTTTTGAGACACTCGAACCAGTGTTTGAGTCTCTGTCCACTTGCATTGATGCCCAGCTCCACTCCGCCTGCAAACAGAGAGAAGAATCAGAAGGAGAATCAGGAGGTGATCTGAAATTGCTGGTGGGTGAACAAAAGGAGGCAGAAATTGGGAGAAATGAAAGAAAGAAAGACCAGTAGTGGACGAAGGACTCAGATCTGTAACTTCAGTAAAAGAAGTAATTGATAATGGGTTTTTTTGGACTAATCTCTTTTTCTCTGGTCTTTTGTGAAATATTGGATAATTTTACCTTTTGGGGCCTCAAGGAAGAAAACTGAAACCTGCAATGATAGATTTTTTGTCACTTTGGGGTTTAGCAGCTTCACTTATCAGCTTGTTTACACTTTCAGCAATTATGGAGAAACTTATTATTATTCATTTGGGGTCAGGTTTCTGGCCAGATGATGAACGTAAGTCTCTACCAACTCTTTTTATCTGCTAAAAACTCCACTTTGTTCTTCAGCTAGTTGCTGTGTGTGTCTGCAGTTTGGTGCTGAGTGATTAGTGTAGAGGTTGGTTTTTGTTTTAGAGCTTTATCACAGAAAACAACTCTCTGCTGCAGCTAAAACTGACATTACGAGAGCGGTAAAAGTGAACAAAAACAAGTAAAGTGGGCCGAAAGCTAAACAATGAGCTGAAACTCAATATATAGCACTGTAAAGCCGAGCTGCAGATTCAGGTGATAAATCTTTGTAGGTTCATCATTCAGCATTCCCTTTGTTTTGTCACGATGTCAGGTTGTTGTCACATTGTCATTTGATACATTTTAATATGTTATTATTATTATTATTATTATTATTATTGTTGTTGTTGTTGTTGATGTTGTTGTTGTTTTTGTTGTTATAAGTATTATTATAGATGCTTGAAATTACACCATATGAGTTTAGTGTCAAATCTTTCTTTGGTGGAACTACTAACAACTCATATACATCTAACTAAACGTTGTTTATTCTTATAAGCTTATGTGTTCTTAAGTAAAATCTTAACAAGTAACTTCAGCTGTCAGATAAATGTAGTGCTGTTAAAAGTACAATATTTCCCTCAGGAATGTAGTCAAGTAGAAGTACAAAGTGGTATACCATTTAAATAACCAATTAAAATACAAACATCTCAAAATTGTACTAAGATCAGTACTTGAATAAATGTTATTAGTTACTTTACACTACTGGTAGCATCAGAAAATAACAGCATACAATTGGGCAGAGTGACAGACTTTTTGTTTTCTTGTTAAAATCTAATAATCAGTAGTAGCCTGTGGAGCTGCGGCAATAATGTATATCAACATTCATGCCAATAATGATTATTATTATTTGACTCGCAGACAGACATGGGAGCAAAGAACGAAGCAAACAGACGTTTGAGACAAATTCCTCCAGGCGGAGAGAAAGAGAAATAGACAGGTGGCTGGGGAATTACAAGAAACAGAGATTTAGATAGCGAAAGATTTATTGAAAGAGCAGGGGGGACTGAATATGCAGAGAAGGAGGAAATGACTCAGGTGAAAATGAGCGGAGGTGATGGAGGCGTTGGTGGAGAGGCAGACTGTAAGACAAAGAGACGCAGGCAGTTGTCACACTGAGGTTCTTACAAAGCCATTCCCTTGGCTGTGATTGCACAGTTAATGGAGCGTGAAGTTTTAAACACGGTGTTTTGGCAATGCCGCCTTCCAACAGCGCCTTAGAAAATGACAGCCGCGAGCAGACAAGGCTAGATTGTTGATCATCTGAGCTCGCCGTCGAACACTGCCTGAGATGCTGCTGCTGGGAAGGGAGGAGCAGCCTTTAAGTGTTTCCTACCCTGTATCCTTTTTAACTTTCCTCTCACAAGCACAGACACGCACAACTCGGAGAGCAGGTCAGAACCTGCTGACAGAGATTTGGTAGGATAATCACGCACAACACTTTGTCACCTCAACCTCCACCCCCGCGCCCCACAAAACTCCCACCGCCTTCGAAACAGAGATCGATGGAGTAAAATGAGCCTGCGGATCGCTAGTGACAAGCACACGGTCAGCCATCCTGACATGCGTAGGGGGACCGAAGAAGGATGAGGAACTAGAGCCTGAGGAGATGACACAGGCGAGGGCGAGGCTGACACAGGCTGGTGAGCAGGTGTGCACCAACACTCGCGCAAGTTTGACCCTGTTCTCTGTTCACTTATTTTTACCCCTCTGCTGCACATTTGTCTCATTCAACCCTACCAGCAGATACACAAGTGTATCTGTAACTGTGGTGAACTGAATATCTAGCAGAACGGTAGATCTGCAGGCTTCAAACACAGTGCGTGTCAAATCATCAAGCAGCGTCTGAAACTCCCTTCCCCCACACCTTTCCCCCTCCTTTACTGGGTTGTGTTTGACAAGTTGTGAATTTCTGAAACCCAGAGTCCAACAAGCATGCAGGATTTTACCTTTTCTCTTAAGCTCTCTTTTAATTACTCAGACACAGCTGGCTATTTCAGTCAGTTTTTGTGTGTATAATACCAACACCATGAAATCCTTTGAAGAGACAATGTCCGAAAGTGTACACCATCATCCACATTTGCGCAAGTCATTGCAACTAACCCCTCTTTTTGATTCCAGACTTGTTGCCATCAAGCACGAATACAATTGCTTTTGTATGAAGTATACGAAACTCTTAAGGCTCCTGACCTGTGACATTTTACTTACTTTACACTGCCTAAAGGCTTGCTTTGACTTAAGACTTGAAAGCAAAAGCCCCCAAACTCACGTTTTGACTTGGTGAACGATAAAAAATAAATAAATTAAACAGTAACAGGCATGCCTTGCATAGCTACATACCTTGGAATTGTAATTGTTAGATTGGATAGATATTGGTCAGAGGTATTTGGCTCAGTCCTACTTGAGACTTGATAGGAACTTGTCTCGATTAACTTGACTTACACCATAAGACTTAAAAACAACTTTGGTATCTATAAAGTCCCTTTAGTTTCTCTAGCAGTTGTAATTTATTTTCTGTAAGCTTTTATAGTTTTCCTGTAAGACATTGAAAATGTATAACAAAACATGGCAAAATCAGACAATTAGATTTGGCTCATGGTGAAGATGAAATTTCCCATCTCTTCTTGTTTATTGCACACAAGTTTGCATTTGATTTATTGCCGGTATTTTCTTGTGTACTTTTGCCCTTTTTTCTCTTACTGTTTAGTTTTCTCCTTCATGAATCTTTATAATCTCACCTTTTACCATGTGACATCCTCTATATCTTCTGCTAAGCCTATTAACACGCTTGTTAGTGCTCTCCCTCTTTCAATAGTGCATTGGGATTGTGTTCGCTCTGCCTCTTTATCAACTTGTTTTCTCCATTCTTCTTTGTCTCAGTGTCATTTTTCTCCCAACCCCAATTAACACAACTGGCAGGCTGCTGTAGCTAAACCTGTAATGATAATGGTCAGGGGAATGGCTCTTATCTGGGGCTGTACGTTAGACCGATGGCCTTTTCTCCCAGCAGGGCTAATAACTCACTGGGCTTATCTAAACACTAGGTGTCTCCCACCATCCCACCCACCCACTGCCTCACACACATGTGCACACATACACACAATAGACAGAGTAAAACGCTTTGATCTGAAGGCCTTCAAGCTCACAGGGTGGTAATCCATTCTCACTGTGCCTCTCTACTAGTTCCCCATCAATCCCTAAGCTCCGAAGTGCTCCTCTGCTGTGATATACACACCAGGCCATGCCAAAGCTGTTTAGCAGTCTGATGAAGCAGCAGCTATCTGATGTGCCAAGTCGACGTAGGATGGGGATCCAGAGAGAACGTCTTCCTTTTTCATTTGTAAAGCCTCGCCATTTCCTTTTCCACTCAAACTCTCCTTTGCTCGCTCAGTCATTCTCCTCAAGCCTCATAATTTCCCCTCATTGCTCTGCATTTTTTCTTTTACTCCTCCCACCGCCCACGCTCGGCCTGGTTTATGTGTTTGTTGCAATTGCACCACTTTCATTCAAACACTCCACTATAGTTATCTATTTGCTGCTGCTGCTTCCCTCTCCACTCTTCCCCTCCACACCCCAGTTCTTCTCAGCCTACCTATGAAGTCGTTGCTCATTCCCAAGTCGTAGTCCCACACAGAGATCTCCAGGGTTTTCTTTGCCAGCTGGTCCAGGGATACTTCATATGAAAACTCCTGTGCAGGTGGTGCACACAAGAGCATAGTTATATCAATGATTCATAAACATGAGAGTTGAAAGGAACTGAATATGTAATTTAGTGCCTTCACAGTAGAAACAGAGTGATGCTGAGAACACATTCAAAGAAATGTCATATTTGAAGTAATTTGCTTAATTGCCATGCTTTAAAATTGTCATAATTTTTACGGAACATAATTTTAAGCTCGGTAAAGAAATCAAAGAAGTTGTCAGGTGTATTGTAGTTATTTGTAGAGCAGGAGACAAGCTGTACCTCATTGAATTCAGGGTTCAGAGTCTTTTTCTTCACTGAAGTCTTGTACTTGGACTTTTTCCCCATATCTGGCTGCAAGATGCTGAGAATGAGAAAAACAAGGTAAAAAGGTAAAGAGGACATAAATTCATCATGACCTCGTAAACTTTGGCCAAGAGTTAGATGAGAGGTGGAAAGCTAGCGTTAAACTTATGTGTATAAGTAAAGTATATATAATCTAGTCATCTTACTTTCCGCAAGAATGCAGATGAGCATTTTTCTCAAAATATCAAACTATTTCTATGATTCAACTCTGGTTGTAGCCCATATTTGTGGGCTGTTAGTGAAATGGAGTGATTTCTGATCAGCACAGAATGAAAGGACTAATTGTAAATAAAAGTTTGTACATTAAAAAATCAAATTTATCTTTCAGATAAGGCCAGAACAATTATTATATCTGAGATCAAAGTAACTGCTCCACTACTTTCTTTAATATTTTGCCCTATTGCAAAAGTAAGCTTTACTGAATGGTAGGACAGGAGACAGAAAGTTTGCTCAATCTCTTTCAGAGATATTTGTGACCCAGAAGTCTTTTGAACAAAGGCGAGGACAGTGAGAGAGTGAAAGAGAAACAGAGAATGAGAGAGACACAGCAGACCACAGCAAGATCACAATCATGCCGATATTGGAGGACTTTCCGCTCAAGCGAAGAGGCAACAGAAGGGTCGCTAGAGGGCAATGGGAGTCATCATCAGCATAAATTCCATGTCAAGATGTTCAGACAGTGAGATATCTCAGTCTTCCAGCCTCACCCCTGCCAGTGACGAGTCCTGGCCTGACAGCTGATGCATGAGATGGGTTTGAGGTTGTCACTGCAGAGCCGGAATCAGAGCGAGTGAAGGACAGAAGGATGACGGAGGGAAAGGAACAGTAAGAAGAGGAACTGATAGAAAGCAAGGTGATGGCAGAAATACTTGAGCCACTGTACGTTGTCAGTGCTGAAAATTTAAATTTTTCTTGATTTGAAATGATTGTCCTGTTGTAACTGTAGTTATCAACAGTATACATACTGTATATATGTATATGTATTTTTTATTTTGTTTTTTTCTTGTCAAATAAAAAAATAAAAATCATTCACATAAAACAATCTTGAGATGACACATCAGTAATAATAATAATAATTATTATTATTATTGTAGAGCACTTTTCAAAAACAAGTTACAAAGTGCTGTAACAAGTGTAAAGACAATAATACCCAAGAGACAATAATACAAAAAAGAATACAAGATAAAAGCATGAAAACATTGAAAAGACTAAAATACAGATAAATATAAAATTAGTAAAATACAATAAAATAAAAGGGATAAAATAAAGTCAAATAAGATCGGGAAAGGCTCTCCTATAAAAGTATGTTTTAAGAAGGGACTTAAAAGAGTTCACTGACTCAGCCGACCTGATTTCCTCGGGCAGGCTGTTCCAGAGCCTCGGGGCCCGGACAGCAAACGCTCTGTCCCCTTTAGTTTTCAGTCGAGACTCTGGATCAGACAACAGACCTCTGCCCGAGGTCTCAAGGTACGTGCTGGTGTATATGGGACTAAAAGGTCAGAAATATAACAAGGCGAGAGGCCATGAAGAGCTTTAAAAGTGATCAATAGAATTTTAAAGTCAATTCTAAAACATACTGGGAGCCAGTATAATGAAGCTATAATAGGAGTAATGTGGTCATATTTCTTTGTTCTGGTTAAAAGCCTGGCAGCTGAGTTCTGGACAGTCTGGAGTCGATCAATAGATTTTTGGGTTAAACAGGTGAAAAGCCTGTTGCAATAATCCAGGCGTGATGAGATGAAGGCGTGTAAAATGGTCTCGGTGTCCTTAAAAGTTAACATAGATCGAATTTTTGCTATATTTCTAAGTTGATAAAAACATGATTGAACAAGCTTTGTGGTGTGCTGCTCAAAATTTAAATTACTATCAAACCAAACACCAAGGTTCTTTGCCACAGGCTTAATGTGATTTACTAGCGAACCAGCAGATGGCAGTATTTGATTTGCCATCTGCTGGGACCCGATGACCAGGATATCTGTTTTGTCTGAGTTCAGTTGGATGAAATTATTTGACATCCATTTTTTAACTTCACAAAGGCAGTTGTTAAGTGAACTCAGCATTCCAGGGTCTGTGGATCCGACGGGCAAGTATATTTGTGTGTCATCAGCATAAATATGAAATGCCATGTTTATGGATAATATGTCCAAGGGGAAGCAGATACAAGGAAAACAAAATGGGTCCTAAGACCGACTCCTGAGGCACACCATATTTAACTGGACAGAATGAGGAGACATAGTTGTTTACAGACACGCAAAACTTCCTATTTGACAGGTAGGATGAAAACCATTCTAGGGCAGTACCAGAGATTCCCACCCAGTGCCTCAGTCTGTCTAACATGATGTTGTGATCAATGGTGTCAAAAGCAGCGCTAAGGTCCAGGAGTACAAGGAAGTCTTTGGTTGAACTAAGGGAAGGGAGATTGGAGGTAGGCACATTGACAGTTTCACTCTGACAGAAGAGGTTAACTAAAAGTGATTTTAAACCCGGGTGTGTCAAGGTCTTCACGGTGTTCAGACTGTGCAAAACGCAATAACAATACAAAGTCAACAGAAACACAGAAATTGAGACACCGACGGTGGGAGAAAGCCGGAGCACTTGGAGAGAACCCGCGCAGACACAGGGAGATCATGTAAACTCCACACAGAAAGGCCTGGGACAACCACGGTTCGAAGCCAAACCTTCTTGCTGTGAGGCGACAATGCTTACCACTGCCCGTGGCACACTGGCTAGTTGAGGCAAATAAACAATAAAACGGTCCAGTAGTCAAATTTGTGCGAATGACGAGAGATAAACATTTGCTTCGCTTTCTGTCTGAACCTTTAGAGATTATCCTCAACAGCTGTTTCCCCTCTTTAACGAAATGTCCTCTGGAAGAACATAAAATAGTACTAAAACAGACAACGTATTAAGTTCTTCTTTGTACGTATACTTGTAGTAGTCAGCCTACTGTGTACTTCTTACACTCCTGATTATAGGGTTGTTCCAGTTCAAGCCATTCAGTTGATGACATGTTACCAAACAGCTTTTTGTCACTAGTCACTATGTTTATTGTATTTTAAAAGGTAATTTTCTCCATAAGCTAATCAGCATTTATCCTCCAACATACCTGGTGCTTGTGCAATGCTCTGACTGCCTTCACAGGAAAGGAAACGAGAAGAAAAAAAAGGAATCAATTGTGAGAGGAGGCCAAACAAAGTCTCTATTTGACCAGCACTATGTGAGAGGGTGAGGTGAAAGCCCGAGGGACATCTTAGCCTCAGCTGTGCCACATAACATTGTACACACGGCTCTAAGGCATTTCAGATGGTGGGATTTCAGATTTCCAGAATAACAAAACTTCATTTGACAGCAACATTCACAATAATAACAGCATAAATACAAATATTAAGTACAGCAGCAGCCAAACTATGCTCAAATTACCGTAGAAAATTCAATGTGAAGAATAATTCCTACCATGGCAGGCTGGTCCATAGAGATAGGGGGGATTATCCCTTCACTTTTTGTTGGCTGTTTCCTTGAAATGTAGGTTGTTTACTGCATAACACAGCACCCTAACTAACCATATAATTCTGTGCTGTATGCATTAACTATTTTAGCCATGTGTCACAAACCTCCCCTGACCGATTAGGTTAACAGGGATTGACGGCTGTTCCTCGCTATAATAATGATGGTATTTAAATACTGTTCTATAAAACTATTTTGTTTTATTCATACACTCAAGCAATATGGACAAGGACAGCTCATGGAAAGAATGACATATAAGGGGTGGACAAAATTACAGCAACACCTAGACATAGCATACTCAAATCTAATGCAGCCACAGACTCAACAAAGCCTCAAGCTTATAAGATTTACAAAGGTAGTATTTACTGCATTGCAGTGACTTTGTTGTGCCCCCTATAACTATGCTATCTTCACTTACTACAGTCAGTAGCTCACTTGTTTTATATTACATGTGATCCAATGAAGGTTAAAGTCAAGGGCAACTGGACTTGGTTGAAGATACTAGAAGACGTTTCGGCCCTCATCCAAAGGACTTCTTCAGTTCTGACTGACTGGCAGGGAAACTAAGCTATTTAACCTCAGTGGGGTCGTTTGCCAGGATCGTCGATACCGCTGGTTCATCAGTGTTCCTGGCTGTTGTAACGACAGTCGTTACAGTCGTTAGGACTACCGGTGGCCAAGACTGAACGACCATCGTTGGCATCTTCACCTGAGGCCAATAGGTTACGTTTGTTGAGTTTCCTGGGAAGTGATGAAAGGACCGCATTGTAAGTGGGGGATAAGTGGTGGCGTAGACCCCTCCTCTGTTCAGCGACTGCTTCTTGACCCGGGTGTAGATGGCTTCCTTGACACCTCTTTCAAACCATCCATCTTCTCCGTCTAAAATGTGCACCTGGTGGTCCTCAAATCAATGTCCTCTGTCCTTCAGATGTAAGTAGACTGCAGAGTCTTGACCTGAGGAGTTGGCCCTTCTGTGTTGAGCCATGCGTTTGTGTAGTGGTTGTTTAGTCTCCCCAATATACAGGTCTGTGCATTCCTCACTGCATTGGACCGCATACACTAGATTGCTTTTCTTGTGTTTGGGTGTGCGGTCTTTGGGGTGTACCAGCATCTGTCTTAGCGTGTTCTTGGGTTTAAAAAACACAGGGATGTTGTGTTTGTTGAAAATCCTTCTGAGTTTCTCTGATACTCCAGACACGTATGGAATCACCATGTTGTTGCGTTTGACCTTCTTTTCCTCCTCCCCTGTAGTTTTATTCTTCTTGGATCTTGTGGCTGTTTTCACAAAGGTCGATTTATATTAGATGTGGTTCATTGTAATCTTTTTATCAAGTCTTTCTCTTTTTTTGTAGATGTTGTTTGTAGTCATGAGGGTGGTTCTTTTTCTTTTCTAGTATAGGCACAACTTTACAATTAAGTAATACAATACTCACATGCCCATGTGTACACTGAAACATACTGCCATTGTCATTATTTCTGCTGTCCATACTGGCCATGAAGCAATCCCTTCCTAGCATTACACTGTACACTTGCTCTGTGCATAAAATGGGGCTTCAGCAACTTAATCAAGTGGGTCTCTTTCAATACATCAGTCTTTTTAGTATGAAATTGCCTATTTATTTTACTATATCCTATATTGTACACAGTTTCTTTGCTGAATTTCATAATAAAAGCTCATTCATAACATGGGTGGTCCTTACTTGTCCGTCTGTTTAACTCAGAGTAGCTTGGGGGAGAGCTGCCTCTTTGCACAGAATGAGCAATGTGGATTTTGTTGCCCATGTCTGAAGGTTTGTTCATACTTCAATACGGTCGCACAGAGCTTCTGTCACAGTGTCTGAGTATGCAGATGTATTCCACACATGCGCACTAGAAAACAAGATGTTAGCCTCACTACATTGTTTGCAGTGCATACAGTCTGTGCAGTCACAAATTGGGTGGTGTGTGGATGTCTGCACAGGGGTCAGTACAGCCCTATGCAGACAAGGGCAGATGACCCTGGTGGCCATGTGAGACAAACAGAAGAATGAGAGCATCCCTCTGTATAAGAGAAAGAAACAATAAAATTACGGAAGTGACAGGGAGAGGGAGTCTGTGTTAAAAACACGACACAAAGTTAAGACACAGAGATGCAAAAACAACAACAAAAAAAATGTGATAAAAAAGATGAGTGAAAATTGAAGCTAAATATATGCGAGTCGTGATTTACACTTCACACAAACGTTCAGAGGGAAAAAGAGAGAGAGAGAGAATAAAACTGTAAAGGATGGCATGGGTGCTTGGTCAGCAGGAACTATCTCACATGTTTAGCACTTTTTCTGCCTTCACATGTCTTTTTTCTGACAGAAATTTTTTTTTATGTTTTAGGTAATGTGTGAAGAGCAGGGGAGGGGGGATGTGGGTCTGTCTGAATGATGTAAACTCATTTAGTGTTTAAATGCTCATTTGTCCTTTTAGATGGAAGACAATTTTGTTCTGAGATAATTCTGACTTTGTGTCACTTGATTGGCTTCTAAAGGCTGATTGAGAGTCACAGAGAGAAAAGACCAATTTGAAAAGCCCTCTGGACAAACGCACGGACACACACACCCACACCCACACACCACACACACACACACACACACACACACAGCATGGATAAAGAGAGACTGGCATCAAGATCAGCTTTAGTTACAGTTTCCTCACGAGGACTGCTGGTGTTAGAGCTGCAGGACATTACCGCTGTGTCAGTGAAGTAAGTCAGAAAGCTAGCTAAGCAAATTCATTTCTTACACCTGTGTCGACTTAATTGCTCAGTATACTTTCACCTAATTCTCTAGAGTATACTGAGCAATTAAGTCGACACAGGTGTAAGAAATGAATTTGCTTAGCTAAATGGGGGTGCAAATTGTTTTGTTTAAAGAAAACTTCACTAAAACTTCAGAGCATCAGTTATGTTGGGTATATGGTGAAAATCATTAAAAGAGCAGTGTATACTCTGCAGCCCAAACCACTGAACAAGGTAAACAAGGCTTTTTGTGATGGATTCAGAGAGTTTTTAGTATAAAAGAGAACAAAAGCAAACTCTGGCAGACAGGCAAATGAAAAATCCAAACCACTCAAGTGCCAGAAACAAGAATCAGATCAGAACAGTGGCTTAAACAACTCATGTAAACTAAAACTCTATACAAAAAGAACCAGCTGATGCAAGGATAAAAAGGGATTAAAGGAATAAAAGGCAACATAGTAGGTTAGGAGAAAAGAGTAACAGAATGAAGATGAAGAGCTAGATACTCAGGGTACATATGTGATTTTCTAGTGTACTCAAAAACATTGCACAGCAAAATAGACTGATAAAGCACAAGGAGCCACATTTAAAGAAGAGGAACAAATCAATGCCTTTGAGAGAAAGAAGAAAAATATCCATGTTTGTGTCTGTTTCTGTTTTTCGTTTCACCCATCCCTCTACAGAAGTTCAGACCTTCGAAATCACAGTACTGTGGCTGAGAGCTGAAAAAGTTGTGCTCAGTATTGCCCACTTATACGAAAAATGTTTTTCAGAACAGTAATTGTAGCTGCCCCACTTCATTCAGACAGAACTTCTCAGTATTGTGTGGATCCTCTCTACTTCCCAGCTTCCATCTACAACAAATCCTCTAAACTCAACTATAAAATATGGTGGTGGTCCATGCCTTCGACACATTTTCTGATCTGACGCTTTCATCCAAATTTACAATTTGCCTCTCATTTATCCATTCACACAGCACGCTACCATGCAAGGTGTTGGCTTGACCTTTGGGAGCAATTTGGGGTTGAGTGTCTTGCCCACTTCAACATGTGGACTATGTATATAACATGAGGATTGAACTACCAACCCCGTGATAAATGGACTGCTCTGTCGCCACCTTAAGATCTTAAACAATATGTCATGCAGCTGTGCATGTAGGAGGTTGGTTCAAAACAGAATAGGAAAGATGCATTGAAGAATATGTAGAGTGGAAAATATTATTTAAAAAAAAATTCTCTGAATGACACCAGTGCACATTTGCTTACATGCCCACGGCAGAAGCATGTTCCAGCTTTTAACCTACATTAGGCACATGCAGGATCAGGAGGATACTCAGGCTAATCCATCTTTTACCATCACCTTCAGGTCATAAACAAAAATCACCTTGGTCAAAAGGGTCAAAACCAAGTCAAGAGTAGCTTATCTGTTATTGAACCTTAAATAACAGTCTGATCAACTGAAGAAACTTAAACTTCCTTTAGAGGCAATTTCAGCAACCTGGTGCTCCTTCTACCTTGAAGCCTCCCACTACTGGAGGCGGTGTTGGTTATAGGATCGGTTATCCTGTGTGGGAGCTCTGCACTGTTGGCATTTAAGTGTAGGAGGCAGAGATTGAGCTGTATGGGTTTTTATGTGTCACCACCCATGCCTTAGGCCCCATCCACACTACTCCGTTTTAGTTTACAAACGGAGAATTAAAACGAATACGATCTCCGTCCACACCAGCATTTTAGCTGCGTTTTGGAGTTGATCTCTGTCTACATTAAAACGACACAGTAGGGCCTGTTCAGGTGCACTGGGCATGCGCGTGCCAGTGTAAACACGAAGCAGATGGTCTATTCTGTAGTTACAGAAGATTTTGCGAAAGAATAAACAAATCCAGAGAAAGCATCAGACCAGTTTTTTTTTTTTGCATGCACCAATAACGAGCTGGGACTGTTGCTGATTGTAACACGGGAGTGTGGCGGCGGAAAACCGACTGGGAGTCGTCACAAAGGAAACTGCGACATGCACAGTACGAGTGTAGGCAGATAAGTATTATTTGCACGGTACATAATATTATAATAAAAATACGATGTCAAAAACCTGGTCAGTAGCATTGTGTTTCTGCTTTGCAAGACCCAATCAGAGAGCAGAGCGTGAGCAGCTGCGTCATCGTTTCTAAAGTCATCCGTTTTGGCCCGTCTCCACTAAAATGTCCTCCGGAATTTTGAAACGCAAAACAGGGTCGGCAGCGTTTCCAAAAGTCTTTGTTTTAGTCGTTTTAGTCTGGACGAGAGGTGCAAACTTAGCAAAAGGTCTCCCTTTTTCATTCGAAAATGCAATAGTGTGGAGGCAGGTTTGCTCAGGTGTGGAGTGGCCTTTCTTTGGCTCAGTGTTTCACACTTTGAAAAGACCTGCATTGACTGAGAGAAGCTCTCAGTCTTAATGAAAGGTAGTAGACCTACAGTTTGATTGGCAAAGGGCCACAACTAATTTATTGATAATTTTTTTAATCAATCGGTTAATCTTTCGGTCTATAAAATGTCAGTGTGAAAAATGCAAGTCACAGTTTCCCTGAGCCCAAGGTGGTGTCTTCAAATTTCTTTTGTGTGATCACCAGTTTAAAACCCAAAGATATTCACTTTACAGTGATATAAACAGAGAAAAGCAGCAAATCTTAATTTTGGAGAAGCTAGAGCTAGTGAATGTCTGGCTTTTTTGCTTGATAAATGATTAAAAAGATTCAGGGACTATCAAAATTGTTGATTGATTCATTTTCTGTTGATCGATTTATTAATTAATTAACTAATTGTTTCACCTTTAAAATAATCCATGTCTAACTTTTTCTGCAGTGTGATTAGGGGTGTCGTCACTATTGCAAAATTGCAACTGTGCTGGATGGCGGTGACATTTTATGCCTCCTTCATGATGTGTCTTGGGGATTGTCCATATATTCTCCATCAAGTCACTGGTTCTGAGTTTTAGTGTGTGAGACCAATCAGGCTGAAAGTGACTTTACATTTGGTCGCCCACGCGTTTGCATTTCCTAAGTTTGAGGGTGTTGTGCCCTGCTGGTGTCAGAGCAGGATATCTGGCTTCGCCACCTCAATCCTGTCAAGCTGGTTAAAGAGTGAAGCGTGAGTGAAATAGAACAAAGGTTACACACTGTAACTAACTCTGTTTATGAGCAGCCTCAGACCCCTCTAACTTTAGCTTTGTCCATACTAGAGAAAAATTCGAAAAGGATTTTGAGTATGTTGTGTATTAAGAGGAGGTGGCTAGTCACATTACACATTACAGCAGCACATTTATGGGAAATACGGCAGGTTGATATAAACCAGAATTTTCCTGTCACTTGAACCCACACTACCAACCTAGACACCGTTACTTTTGCCATGTTACCAGACCATCAGACTGCTTCCTGCATTGGCAAAGAACATTGCAACTGAATGTTAATTGTTGATGCAGAATAGTAGCCTGTGAGCATAATTTGTTTGTTCATGAATATGTGACGCGACTTACATTTTGACGAAGGGGTCAGAGTAGCCGTTGGAGTCCATGGCGGCCAGATGGGCACAGCGTATGATCCCAACCAGCAGGCAGCTCTTCTCTGTGTTATAGCACAGGGACACCAGGATGCGGCCACGCTGGGGACAAAGAAAACAACAGTGTCACATACAGCACCTGTTTTCAACCTGACATTTCCCTTTTCAATGAATAGACAGTGGGAAATCCTGCATCAGGGTCATTTTCACTCAAAGCAACAATAATAAAACATTAAAGCAACACTATGTAGCAATTTTATCTTTAGAAAACAGCTTAAAAGTCGTTTTGATGGTACACTGACTTGTAAAATGATAAATGACGTCTCTGTCATTGCCATTCCAGGCTGGGGCGCAGATTTTTGGCACTATGTACATGAAACCTTTAGTGACAACGGCTTAATGATTTAAGGCACCATGTCACACAGCAACACGACTCTTCAGCAAGCAAACTATAAGATGAAGCAAAAAGTATATAATGTACATTGTAAGTTCTTTGAAAGAAGCTAGCTCGGTATTCTCAGTATGGATATTATGTCAGAGGCTGCGAAGAGACCGAAGAAGATGTCGGAGGAAGTGTGGGAGAGAAAGAGAAAGTGACCAAGCAAGAGACTGGACAAGAGTAAATATTGCACTGGCTTTTACTCGTTGGCGTGAGCTAAAAGAGCTGAGACGATGCAAGACAGCTGACAGGCCTTCTTGCTATCTTATTAGCTGGCTTGCTATGTCTTGTGTTATTGGGCTCGCTGGATGTTTGGCTGTGTTAGCAAAGCTGTCGACACAAGTGAAATCGCACAGTGGTTTCACAGACAAAGATTTAGCTGCTAGCTACACTGAACAAAATTATAAATTGTTTGCGTTTTGAGTTGCCTTTTATTTTTGCCAGCCTAAGGCACACCTGTCTATACCCATGCTGTCTTATCAGCATCTTGATATGCCACACCTGTGAGGTGGATGGATTATCAAAGGAGAAGTGCTCACTAACTTTTGACAGATTTGTGAACAATATTTGAGAGAAATAGGCCTTTTGTGTACGTAGAGAAAGTCTTAGATCTTTGAATTCAGCTCATGATGAATGGGAGCAAAAACAAAAGTGTTGCATTTATAATTTTGTTCAGTGTATAAATCTCAAGTTGATGTTAGCAAACTTACTAGATAACACACTTGGAAGTCGGTAAAGTTTCTCTCGTGTGCTCTTTCGTCAGATGTTGTCTAGCTCTTTTGGCTAGCTTGCCACCCAAGTTTCAAACAACGTGCAACTTTTCTACAAACAACTGGTGGAAAATGGTGTCATGCCAGAGCCAGATGAGTGGGCAACAAAACCAGGATCAGCTGCCTCTATGGACATAAGATTAGTTAATAGCAGAGGCAGAAGCACAGAAGAGGACGTAGATGGAGAAAGCTAAGAAGATAAAAGGAGAGTGACTAAAAAAGAGGCTGCCGGGCATTGGCGAGAGCTTCATGAAAGAAAAGGCTGCAAGACAGACGCCGAGCTGGCAGTCTTTCTGTTGGACTAGTAAGTAATATTGCTTTGTCTTGTGCCGTCGCACTTGCTTGTTTGGTTTTGTTAGCAAAGTTGTCGACTTGCAAGTTTTCAATCATAAGTAATGTAATCATCATGAATGCACATATACAGCTGTCCTTATTTACAAAACCAAATCTTATATAATGTTGCTTTAATACAATGAAAACGGAATTAAAATAATGTGTGAGCAAAAGGAGTGCTCATATGAAAGCTTGTAATTTAAATAAAAAAGCTTTGCCTTTTCTGAGCCAGGCAAAATTATATTGCTCCCTTCTCCTTTTAATCTCCAGGTTAAACCATAAACTGAGTCTAATCAGAGACCAAAAGCTATTAGCCTCTGTCTCTAAAACAGGAAGAGAAATGAGATAATGACCACCAGTGGAGGAAAAACACTAGTCTTCCCTTCACACTAGTCTGTTAGAGTTCATGCCACAGATATATATACTGACTTAAAAAAACGCCTAATTAAACTTTATTTTTCTTTAGAGATGTGAAAAGAGAGGAAAGATTAGAATAACTAAGAAAGATAAAGTGTATTAGATATTGGAGAATAATAGGAAATTATAGTGAGCCATGTTTTGGTTGAAAACACTAATGATAAGATTGGTGATGATAAAGCTAATGATATGTTTACCTCCTCCTCTCCCACGAGCGCTCCCTGCTCCACCAATTGATTGTTAGTTTCTTTATTCTGAAATGAGAGAGCGAGACAGAGACATCATGCTTATAGCCTACAGAGCCTCCAGGTGAATATCTACAGCACTTTATAATGCAGCATTTTAAACTGATAGCTGATAGCCTGAAGGCAAACATGCATAATGGAAACAGGACACATCTTAATATATATGTCCACTGAAACCCATTTGGTATTTATGCGAACAGTCTGTGCACGGTCACACACACACATACACACACACGCACAATGTACGTACCTGTGCAATTCTCTCCAGGCCCATATTGTAGCGTTTGCTCTCGCCCTCTCTCAGTTTCTTCAGGGCAACTCTCACCTCTCCAATGAATTCATTTCGTCCGAGTCTGTCCATGTCACATACACACAGCCTTCATACACAGACACGCATACGGATGCAGAGACAGAGAAGAGAGAGAAACAGGTGAGTCAGTGAAAATTTACAGAGGAACCCTGCTGCCGCGTAGCTTCATTATCGTGAAGCGAGTGTAGACTGCCAAAAATATCCAAAGTGTATCTCAACAATCAATCAGCGCCTCCATCTGCAACACAAGACGACTTCTCTGTGGCTTCATATCAGCATGCCTCATGAATGATGAGAAGTTGTGAAGAGGGTTTCCAAAGGAGTGATTCATTTCTTTCTCGGCTGTTACTCCATCAGACTTATTGATCGTAATTGAAATATGTAAGAAGAAAGAGATTGTTTAAAGCAGGTAATCAGTTTTTCTTCTGCATTTCCCTGAATTGAAAGGACACTGATTGGGCCCTATGTGTAGTATACAGATAAAACTATATAAAATGTCTGCTATCAGTGCATTTGCATACATTCTGTGTTATACATTGTTTAAGATGAGTTTTGTGTTTTCATGGTGTCACTGTGTTTAAAGATGTACTGTGATACTGTGCTAGTGAATCTGTGAGGCTGTACGTAGGCACAGTGGTGCTTTGAGCTAAATACTAACATTAGCATGTTTGGCAGGTCTCATTTTTACCATGTTCATCATCTTACTTTTGCATGTTAGAATGCTAACATTTGCAAATCAGCACTTCAAACAAAGTACCACTGAGGGTGATGGGAATATCAATCATATTTGGTCATAGAAGAAGTAACATTCATGTGCCATGTTTGGTTCCTTACATTGAAGTTTATTGTTGAGTAGTACAGCACAGCCACATAAAAAACATCAAGCCATCTATTAAGTTGTAACCTATATTTCAATGGCATTTTGGTGACAACATTTTCAACGTAAAACAAGTTCTGATTTCCTGGTCATTAGAGGTTAAAAAGTTAAATCCTTCTAATACATACAGTGTTACTGAGCGGGATATCAGCACAGTAAAAATAGCTTGAATACTTCCACCTACAATCCAGATTAGTCTTTACAAACTTTTGCTTTTCTACTTTGTATGTTGAAAAAGAGACAACTGAATCAGTTCTCTAGATTGCTGCAGTTCTGTAAAATGATTTCTTCCGCAGGGTGCACTTATTTAAAGAGATGGTGATGTTTGATGGAGGGTGAATATTCCATCAGTTACAGTACAGTCTTCACAGCCCATCACCTGCTACAATATTCCCTCTGTGCTCAACTATTCCCAGATGGACTGTCGCTGCTCTTGATTTCCCCTCTTCATTCGATATTCTCAACCTTTCTCTCTTGCTCTCACACACACACACACACACACACACACACACACACACACACACACACACCTTCCTTCCCCCTCTTCCTGTCCCTCTAACATTTGGACGTTTGACATGCTGGTTACAGCATCAGTCATAACTGATGAGTATCTCTCTAAGCTTCAGAATAACTCTGACTCATGACCGTGGTCGTCAGATCATTTATGTGCCTTAGGTCTGTCATACATGTAGGATGTCTGTGATGAGATAAAGGTTGAGGTGAAATATGACACCAGTTCCACCCCAAACTTTTGGCTTCCTCTGTGCAAATGCTTCATCAGTTTCCTCACACCCTCTCCCACAATATTCCAGCTTTAGAATTCCTCTAAAAACCAAACAGATGCTCGTGGAATCTTTTCAACCCGTGGTGCCAAATTTAGTGCTGAGTAACTGACAAAACCCGGTTCATGAGTTACATTAGATTATCAGGGTGTTTTAGCACTTCTGCGTGGTGTCTGTCCTTGCGAAAATATCTCTTCATGGTCTCAAACAAGTGAGAAGAGTGTCAACAAGAAACTGACAACAAGGATGACCTTTGCTGTGGTATGTTTATAGTTCTTTTTTTTTTTGTTTTGTTTTTTTTTTACAACTGCTTACACACAAAATCTACTTGTCACACGATTTCTTAAACCTCTCACTCAAAGAGCAAAACCACACACTAAATCTGCATAACCATAAGCTATTTCTCAGCCTTTCACTCAGTTTTCAATTTCATGAAACACTTTTTTCAAAACACTACACACAATTCTCCACCTAAAAAATCTAACAAGAAGTGACTTGATTGCATTTTCCAAACATATATATATATATATATACAAACCAATAAAAATGCTTTCTGAAATTATATGGAAATGTACATATAGGCCCATGAAAGCCTATGAAAGACAAAAGAGCTTTAGATTTAGAACAACAGTGTATACATGGTATATTCAAAAATGTCCCATTATGAAAAAAAGTGTTTGCCATTTGATGCAAATGCTTAATTTAGAGATATGTTTATGGTATTTTAAACGTAGTGTCTCATTTTGCAGGAGATGAGGCATTTTACATTTTGGGTGTGTTCAACGGCAGCCAGCACGGCTGTGCAGTGAGTTAATCTCACCCCCCCCGACACCTTTAGAGATGAGCAAGTGACAGATGCTAGCACCCATGGGTTTTAGCCTCCTTGTTAGCGCGTCAACCTCGGGCCGGTTACATTGGTGCGGTGACCTGGATGGGAGTGGTGAGGTGTAGGGGGGGTGAGTGTAACGGTAGCCAGCTAGGCTGTGCAGTGAGTAAACCTCACTCTCCAAAGCCTTTAGTGCCAAGCTAGCAACAGACGCTAGCGCTCATGGGTTTTAGCCTCCTTGTTAGTGTGTCCGCCAGTTACATGTGCAGTTTTAGGAATTGTGTGTAGAGTTTTGAAAAAAGGAGTCATGGTTTTGAAAACTTGTGTAAGCAATTGTAGAAACTGCAAAAGGAACCTCATTAGTATTTTAAAATTGATATATATACCTAATAAATCTCCACGTAAGCCTGCCTTTGACTTGTTAAATCATATTGTTTTTAATTCCGTGTTATAGGGATAATTCCGTGTTATAGGGATTATTATGCTATTATGTAGTTTATTATGTTATTAAATATGCTAATCGTACTTAAATATCAGTGCATTTGTCTGGTTTCTCTCTCCTGCTGCTGATCGAGAAACCTCACTTGCACATTCTGACGTTAAGAACAAATCTTACTGTTAAATCTTTCCAAATCCCTTGTTATTGTCCTGCTTTTGGGTCTCCTGGACCCAACAGCACAACAGTGCTTTGAGCCAACGTCAGCATACTATCATACTCACAATGACTTTAAGTTTGACACTCTACCAACTTAGCTATAGACGTAGACAAATCAATCAACCCCAACCAAAAATATCATTCTCAAATCATTTTTCCCCCTCCTGACTATATTAGTACCCGACTATACATCTCACTTGAGGCATCCAGCAGCCAATCTCAGCCTCCCCTCCATCCAATACCAAATCAAGTCCTAGATTTATCCCTATCTCCCCACAGCCGAGGACAGTGTGTGTCTATTACCAAGCCTGACAGGGACGGAGAGATAGAGGGAAGAAATTGAGAGAGGGACTAGACCTGGCACTGACATCATGCTGGTAGTCCTTTAACACACACACACACACACACACACACAGGATCTCGATACTCACCTCTCATCACAACACCTCCACATGCTCCATCTCTCCTCTGGCAGGCTGACTAGGAGTCTTAAAGATGAGATTCTCCCCAACTTCTTTTTTCGTGCATTAAAATGCACCAAAAGCAATATAATTTAAATGAGGGGAAGGACTGAGGCACCACATTATCACTGTCACTGCTTTTAAATCATTTGAAATTCACCCCGAGGCAGACTGAAGCAAGCAAGTGAGAAATTTTGACCTAATCTCAAAATCATGTCGTCCTCACTACAATAAAACAATCTCCAGAGCAACTCAATACGTCTCATATTCAGACTTCAAAGGAGACTGTTAAATCGACTTTTTCCCAGTGCAGTTTCTCATGTTTCAGCTATTTTCTCAAAATTAGTGGCTGCTCACAAAAACAAGCAGGCTTTTACCAGAGATCAGTAAAAAATTCCTATCAAATGAGACAGCCTAAATAACTATAACTAAATAACATGATGGAGATGTGTGCGACGTATTCCAGTTCGGTTTACTTTTCACTCAAGAACTGAGCACCTCAGGCAGCCTTGCTGCATCAATTGAAGGATTAGCTCATATGAGGCCAACCGTGGAGTCTGGATTGAGGACATTAGTTATTAGTTTACTCAGCTGGTTCATTCTTAATAACAAAATGGACCTCCAGTCCCTCTCAGAGATATAGTCTGCTCACTGAGGAATAGGGTTGTTGAATACAGAATATTTAAAAAATGAATGGTGTTGAGATTTTTTTTCTCCAAGCCATTTCAAAACTAGCTTCTATTTAGCCATCCCTTTCTAGTTAAGTGCATTTTCCTTCAGCATTATGGCTTTATATAATCATTGTAACTGCAAATGAATGAATGAATGGTGAAAATAAATAAATAAATGCACAAAACCAGTCTCCCTCCACTTTATACACTGCATAACTCTCTTTACAGCATTATCCTCCAGCACAAAGAGTGGTGCAGTAGAATGGACTTGACACCAAAGAAATTTTTAATGACTGCAGCTTTTATCACTGTCTCTGATGTGGGCTGAAGTACTGAACAGTAAAAAACTGCTCAAGACACAATCCTTAAGATTTCTGTGACATCAAAACCCCATTTTTGATACAATTTATGGTCTGCCAGTCAATGTATTTACATTCAGTAATTACTGCTGTATATTTGTAGTGGTGGAGTCCACCATTCCTGCACTGAATATAGACTGCCTGCATGCACGCACATAATCCAAGTGATAGCAGACTCACCGCTTTACACTGAAAACTCTGCTTGCGCTGATTGTGATTGTTCAACAAAAATGCTTATACAAAACGGCAACGGTGTCCTTTTCAGCCTTCCTTTTTGGCAAGGGAGTAATGAAACAAGAAGGAGAACCCACAGTGAGCTGTTAAGATGAAAATATGCAGTTGACAGGCTGCGACACCTGCAACTCTTCAGCAAATTTTGCTGTCTTGTTGAGTGGGAAACTACAGCAAGAAATCAGATTGCTGTTGCAATTATTTGATTTATAAACTAGACTGATTAGTTTGTTTGGCTGCACTATAAACAGATACATCAGTTGCTCTGCTGTTGTATTTCTAAAAAAGTAGCTGTATTACTTTGTGTTAACACGGTAAGGACAGGTGTCACCAAATCAACCAGGAGTGAAATCTAAAGGATTACAACTTGAAAATGAGCTTAGAGCATGAATGAACGCTGCTCAGAAATAATCCTTGTTCTCACTTGAAAACACATTCATCTAAACTAAAATGGGTTTGCTCTGACTGCAGTATGGCCCAGTTTAACTATAAACTTTGCACTGTCCGTGCCTTCAGGCAGGTCTCTAGAGAGGGTTAGTCTGGACAGACTCCTCCTGTTCAGCAACGAACAGAGCATGGGGATCAAAGAGTACAGCATGCCCTCCTCTGCACCCTGCTGGGACCGGCAGAGCGGGATGCGGCAGGGCACAACCAAGTGAGTAAACATTTCTCCGGGGATCCCTCCCTGTTTCTCTGTTCTCTGACTGTTCGCTGCTTTCTGTGCAGTAATGAGAACAAAGTCTGTCAGTCGGCAGAGGTATGGTGGTGGTGTCTGAGAAGATTTTCTTTGTCTCTCTATCTTTCTCTGTACGTCACTTTCTCCCCTTTCCTCGCTGTCAGACAGCGTTTCATTCACTCCCACTGGTTTCCTGTCTCACATATATCTTACTGTCCTCATTCTTTCGTTTTTTGGCTCCCCTTTGAGTGAACATCTCCTCATCACTTGCCCTTTTTCTTCTGAGCTAAGTAAATTTCTTCATTCATCACTTTATCCCACTACACTCTCTATGAGCCAATCTGTCTCTCTCTCTTTCAATTGACCCTTGGATTCCCTCCATCCCTCGATTCTGTTATCGTCTTGGCCTCCCTAGTTTCCTCTTCCACACTGCCTTCTGTCACTTGACATCATTCACGCTTTTCCTCTGCTCTTGTTGTTGATCTTGGCAGTCACCTCTCTCTTCATCTATTCCTCGACACTGGTCACACTCCTCCTCCTCATTTTGGCTTCCCACAGCTCCCATGCAGGGTTGTTACTGTGGGTTGTGTCCTTGAACAGAGGTCAGGTGGGTTTCCTTTAGTTTGTAGGGTCTCTCCTCAAGCTACTGTTTGTGTGTATACGTGTGTGTTTCGGGAGGTAGAGTAAATGTTATTTCCGAATGTGTGTGTTTGTAAAAGCTCAAGGACGTGTGGTATTTGCGTATGTGTGTGTGTGTGTGTGTGTGTGTTTTCTCTACATAAAGAGGAGGGGCCATGCATGTTCTTTCCTGCCAGTGATTGCCCTTGACACAAGAGGATAAACACACACCTGACTGCCTGCATTTGTGTGCGAAGCAGATGAGATTTGTGTGTGTTTGTGTGAACATGCACTTCTGAGTGTGTGTGTGTGCATATGCATATATCTGGGTGGGTCTGTGCTTGTGTTTCCTCAGGATAAACAATGCCATCCAACCCTATTATGAATCCGCTGAGCAAACTGACACTCATTGTACGCAACACACACGTTCACAAACAAAACACCCAGGAATCTCTGAATCAACTTACACATGCAGGATGACACGAGTGCGTCAGAGTTTTTGGGCCAAGATGGCTACGCTTGACCTCAATCACTCCATACGGAGAGCACTGTGGGACGGAGGGGGGTGGAGCCTTACCATGCAGCCAGCACCTGAGCAGTTACCGCAGCAACAGCAAGTGGAACAGTTGGCTGGTGTCGCCTGGCTGCAATAATGAATTACCTGGAAAAGCCCACTGGGAAGTATAGACGACTGTTGGCAGCTCACTGGGGGGGTGGAAGCATGGATCATCATCCTCGGCATAATAAACTGGTCATTTGGCTGTCTGGGGAATAGTGCTACCTGCTAATTTAGAGCTGAGCACCTACCTGAGCGTTTTGGTGGTCATGTCGGCTGCTGTGATGCCATGATACATCAACGTTTCATTCCACACTGGGTTCAGCGTATTCTTCAGGGTTTTTGTGCGTAGCTTGTTTGCCTGAGGAGATGAAGAAGAAGATATATGAACAGAAACTCATGGAAAGGGAAGGATCAAAGGAAGAAAAGAGGAATGAGGAATGTTTTAAGGGTGAGGGAGGAAACTCGTCAGATCAGGATGAGAAAAAGAGAATAAAAGATCATGAAAAGGAAGCAAAGCGAGACACTGAAAGATCAAGAAAGAAGGGGAGAGGGAAAAAGAGTGGGGAAATATCATTTATCTCGGTCCCTCAGGAAATCACAGACATCTGCTGCCAACTTTGTAGAGGAGAGTGAGAGGACGCAAGGCTTCCCTAGCTTCACCTGTCCGTCTGTCTCCTCCCCAATATTATAAGAGAGAGAGTACATTAGCGCCAGACAGACCTCCAAAACAAGCACTGTGTCTCAAACACAACACAACACAGCAGCCAATTAAGTTGCACAACACATTCGGCATGAAAAATTAAAGCTTTCCAGAAGAGGAAATGCCCATGAGCCCTTAATAGCTTCACCATGCATAAATAAAGTTTGCAACCACTTGCTGCCTCATTTCCCACAGTTGCCTTCAGGAGGTGTTTAAGTTTTTATTTTGGAATTTATTTTGTATATATTCTAAACTTTATAAAACCTTCAAGAAATTGGGTTTGCATCCCAATAAAATGCATTTTACAGAATCCCTAGATAAATATTATATTCCTGCACACAGCTTTTGAAAACCCAATCCTCTGGCTCAAATGACGAAGTACTAGACACAAAATATTGGTTAATAAGACCTTGTAGAGCCAAAGGTAGCTGCAGGGCTCTCTGGCTTTCAGTGGTGGGAAAGCATTTAATTAAGTACTTTAACCCCTTGATGCCTGAATTTATTTAGAATTATATGAAAAAATGTATTATTTTTGTTTTCATTTGCTTTCAAACTGATGCTAAATTAGGTGGAGATTGTTAATTTGTCTATAGAAGATAGAAAAGATATAAATTCAAGTATGATGTAGGTATGATGCAAATTAGCGACAACAGGCATAAACGAGAAACCAATGCTTGCAAAAGGTTTTGGATATGGGGGCATTGGGTGAATACATACACAATGTCGGGTGCAGTCTAAATGGAAGTGGTGTGATGTGAATTCGCAACAATTGGCGTTAAGGGGATAAACAGAATTTTGTTGTGCTTTTTCTTATTTGAGTCTTTAATTATATGCCACTATGCTTATGCTTCACTACATCTCAGAGACAAATACTGTACACTTTACTCCACTACATTTATTTGACCACTATAGTCGCTAATTACATTGCAGATTTTGATTTCAAATACCTATAGTGAAGATAATAAATCACATTAAAGTCGGGTAATTTTCTATATTTTTTCTCATTGTTCACAAATCCTATTAAAAGACCAAAACCAACAAAAAAACTGATCATACTAAGTATGAGCTTGATATAAAGTTAATTAAAGAGGTTCTCCAGAGATTTAGTGTTGCACTTCCTATAAAGGCTCAGTAAAAACTGGTTTGAACCCAAAAGAACGACTCTAATATGAGGCTGGTAAAATAAAAAGGTTTACTCAAGGTACACCGGCAAAAATCAAAACCAGGCAGGCAGGGGAGGGAAGGCATATGTATTCAATAAGGGAACAGGCTACATTAAAGAGGTCAAGTGATGGGGAATGGGGTAACACAGGGAATACGACCGGTGAGTTAGTAGGATGGGTGAGGACAGAAGCTTCTAATGAAACATTGCTTTAGCTCCCTGAAGGTCTCCTCAGCAGACTGGGACCACACAAATGGAGTGTTCTGGGAGATTAAGACATTGAATTATTTGCCGAAGGGGAAGGGACTGGCCAGTCCATGACCGCCTTGACCTTGGTGGGGTCCATCTGGATGCTGCCTGCAGTGACATTAAACCCCACCCCTCGGAGACATGGAACTCACAGTTCTCAACCTTAATGAACAGCTGATGTTCCAGCAGTCTTTGGAGGACACTGTTCCTGCTTAGTCTTGGAAAAGATCGAAACATCATCTAAGTATACAAGAACAAACTTGTTCAGCGTTTCCTGTGAGGTGTAGTGAGTCTCCGGGGCTGGTATCTAGGACTTGCTCCTTCTTCTGCTCACAAAGGCGATTGTCCATGCCAATGGTGATGGCAATGGCTATGAGGGTGTCCAGGTCTGGGGGAAGCTCCCGGGCAGCAAGCTCATCTTTTAGATCAGACAGTCTGTTAAAATATATACCATACAAAGAAGAAGCTCCCACTTTTGTGCAGCAATTCTTATGAACTCAATGAAGTGGTTAGGATCAGGTTAGGGTGACAAGCCCTTCCTCCTTAACTTAGATTTAAGAGACTGCAAGTTACATTTCTAACCCGAGTTAAGTGGTCGGAAACTTGGTAAACATCTTCACAGATGAGGATGTTGACAACTGTCTTTCCCACTCTGCAGCAGCCCAATCCCTGGTTCTGCCCATGAGCTGGGAAATAATGTAAGCTACAGAGGAACGCTCAGATGGAAAGTTGGTGGACTCACAAGAGAATAAAAAAAGGTCAAAATCAAAGCTGAAGAGGCAGAGATATCGTTACATTTCGACCCTACTATGGGTCAAGCTCCAGAAATAATAGCTCTTACATTTCCAAAAATACAACTCAATAGCCTGCCTGTTAAATGTCCATATTTTCCATCATGGTTATATTTCATAATTTAGAGAGCTTTCAGAGCCACATCAGACATTATACAATTGTTTTCACAGGCTAATGACAGCTAAACTGACCTTCATATTTAAAATCTGTGGAGTGTCCCTTGAAAAACACATAAATAAGCCACACTGTTTGGTGACACGCGCCTTCATTATTGTGAACACAGACACTGTAGTTTATTTAGAGTAAATCCCACATCGACTGTCCTGGTGCTTGAATTCTCACTAGACCACCAAATGTGTATCAATCTGCCACTGAAAATAGTCCCTAACAAATGTACTATTTACTCCTACTTGAGTAATGTTTGATAAAAATTGCAGTGCCCAGCTTTTAGAGACTAATTTATATTTTAAAGGAAAGTGTGTCTTTGTGACCCATTTTTTAACGATTTACATGTTCAGTAGGAACAATTTGGCTCAGGGCTGAGTGCCACAGATTGGCATGGAGAAGTCTGAAGGCATTGGGAGAAGGAGTAACACATTCTTGATTTTGGTCTTTTCAAGGGATTTTTTTGACAATAAGAATAGACAAAAAGCATATCGGCAACCTTATCTTTTAAATTTTCAAACAATATATGAAGGTTACAGTTACATTACCATGCTGCATACATTGTGGTGGATCAGTACCCAATTACATAACAATGATAAAAAAAATTAAAGTCAGGACCTCAACTTGTTATAGAGTGTTTTATTTTATTTTAGGGTATTGCTGCTTCTAAACTACTGTCCAGCTGGTACAGAAAGTGTGTAGACTATTCTCTCAAAATATGCCTGCTCATGTCTGAAGCTTTGCAGATAAACACCTCATCTCTCTCTCTTTTCCTTCCTTCCACAGTCAGCCTCTTGCGAATGCCTCAGGGCCAGATGCTGAACCCTCCTTTCCATCTTCTTTCTCTTGGTCTGTTGTTGTCCCCACATCCTATTGTTCTGCCTCCCCTCTTCCTCCCCTTTCCTCCCACCACTGTCCCCTTTCTATTCTTCATTTTCTGCTGGAAACATTTGCCTTATCTACAAGAGTCAGCCCTCCATAGCTTGCTCCGCAAAGGGAACAAGTGTTTTCGATTCATGTCATTTGTTTGATTCATTAATGTGCAGGAGAAGCCGGCAGAGTCACGACTCACGGCATTGTTGCACGGCTGTATGTGTGCCAGCAAAACTCAACAGTTCAACTATTTCACACAAAAACAAAAATGATTTACTGAATTGGGTTGGTATCTGAATAAATACTGTATCTGACCACATGCTACTCCTACAAACACTTAAAACACCAGTTCCCTCTTCTTGCCCTCTGTCACTCCTTGCCTCCATTTTCCCTCTACACCAGTGCTTTTGCATCTGTTTCTAAATGTTTTATCTCTAGCCCTCCATCTGTCCATCACACTCTTCCTCCTTTTTCTCCATCTGTCTGCATGGATCTTTTTACGTATTTCACACTCCCTCTCTCTCAATCCCTTCTTCCCAGAGCTCTGGATGAAGACTCTGGCTGTGAGTGAATTTTCCATGCGACTCGATTAGGAATGGAGAGATGAAAACGTCAATGATGATCACAGAGGCACCAGCAACTATGTACTGTTTCCATACATGTTTGTGTGTTAGAATGAGAGCGGGAGTGATGGAGAAGGAGGGATGGACTGAGGGAGCATCTCTGTGTGACTGTGACTAAAGCCTTGTTTCTGCATCTACGCAAGGTCATGCGGTGCATGTTATACACTGTGTGTTTTACATCACTGAACAGCACGCTTGACCGTATGCTGGTTAAAGACAATGCGCTGAAGGATGTGAGAAGAAAAATGAGTGGGACAGAGGAGACGTGTGCCTATGCTCTCAGTATTTTGACAACTCAATTCTTTGCAGAAACTGAAACCTTTTGTGTCCTGGATTATTCATTACAACACTTGCATGCTGAGTCTAAATGTGGACAAGAATATGTGTGAGTGTGTGTCTGTCATCCTCACTTCCTTATGTGCACGCTTCCACTTTTGAAGTGTATTGGCCCCCGTCTGGTGGGTATTAACAACAAACGGTGGTACTTACCTACTCATTGATGCTTTCTCTGCCCCCCCACCACCCACCTCTACCACCCCTCTCCCCCCATCAACACTTGCCTGTTGACGTGAGCCGTGTAACAATCCTCCCTGTTTCCATGACAACCACCTGCTGCTGTCCTCCCCTCATCTGTCTCTCCCTCCCTCCCTTTCTCCACTCCCCCCTTTCCTCCCTCTCAGTTGTCTCACTTCTCTCCGCACACTGTTGGTATTTCAAGGTCAAAGAGGGTCACAGCTGGATAGTTAGATATAGACAGAGATAGGGGTGGAAAGTGGGGAAAGGAGAGCGATAACAATGGGAGAGAAGACAGACAGAGGAAGGCTGGAGGACAAAAATCCCCCAGACATTGTTATTGTTAGCACCTTAGACCCCAGACAGTTGCCTCATTCAACCTATCAGGGCTCGGCGTCCTCCCCGGACTTATCATAACCTCATTTCGTGTCAACCTTGAGCCAAAATGGCCGACAACAGGTTGCATTCTGCTGTAGCTGGAGGTTGCTGTTGTGGAGAGCCTTATCTTCCCTGCTGCTTGAGCTGAAAACAAGACAAGAGCAGTGCAGCAGACCAGAACATGTTTGTGCTTAATAAAGCAGAGCACTGGACGGGCCACATTAAGCAGTAACCAACCGAAATGCGCCCTGCTCAACAGCTTGAAACAACACACTAAATTAGCCCGCTGCCATGTTATGTTTTGTTATGCAAGCGCATTTCAACCTTTTCATGGTGTCTGATAAAGAAAAATTGACAAGGGAGACTAAAAAGTTAATAATTGTGTTTGTTTCCTTCAGTTGAATAATGTATGAAATGTTCCCCATTTTCAAAGGAAATTGTACGATGCTTCTTTTGCCCGCAGTTTTTTTGTGTGATGTCGGACTTTCCTGAGGGAGTGTCAGTGTCTGGGACATCCCAGTGTGGTAACATGTTACATTAATTGCCACTGAGGTAAGGTTGGAGTAGTGACCTTGCTAGCCCCGGGGAGAAGATGAAGCTTGACGTATGGATCAGCCAGCCCATTGGAGTCCATGGCTTTCAGTCCCTGTAGACACACACACACACAAACACACACACATACACACATACTGTAGTGTCAAAGGTGACGTCATCATGCCCTCAAACACTTCACACTACTGACAGGGTCAAAAAAAGACAGCGAATATGACAGACCTCTTCTACTGTAGTTACATCTAGCGCCTCTGGGTGTTTCTTTCCATGCCACTATTTTCTACCCTCCTAGACTTCTTTGTGATGTCCTCAAGGGAACCCGTTCAGCGAGATTTACATAATTAACATCATGTGACAGTACACAACATGTAATACAAGGCTTGTGCCCTTGCACGATGGCCGAACCAAATGTGTCTGCCACAGCAGTGGTGCACCATTACCCAACATTTCGTACCGCCATGAGAGATTTTTCTCTTGAATTGACAAGCTGCTGAGGGTGTGTGGTGAACACTTTAAAAAGGTTGGGAAAAAGCAGTCTGACGTCTTGCAAACATAAAAGCACAACAGGAGAATTGTTTTTAGTGGGCCTTCAAGGAGGATTACGCAACCGTGCACACACAGACAGACACAGGTCTGTTTATATGAAGAAGATATTGAAATTGTGTGTACCTTTGCCTTGTGAATAGTACAATGAAGACAGTTGTTCTCCTGATCAAAGAGCAGACTGAACTCCAACGTTCCCAGGTAGGCTGAAAACAACACAAACCATGCCAATTACTGCCAGTAAAGGGACAGACACTCACACACACACACGCAAAAGCTCTGAGTCATATTTGTAGCAGATGGCTTCTTAAAAATATGACTCTACCTAATATGAATTGATCTGTCTTGTTTGATTACTGTTTGGGAATGAACAGAAACTTGCAGGCTGAGTCCCACTGTTGGAACATTGTCTAATAAATCATCGGAGGCGCCGTGTCACATAAAGTGGGAGTGACAAACACTTTTGGAAAAACGCATGACTCTGCAATTACTCTGCAAGCATATGTTGGGCTGCTGAGAAACTCATTTTGAGAAAAAAAGAAGTAAAGATTACTCTCCTCGCCAACGTTTTCAAACTGGAAGCTTTAGCTTTTCTGCTCTATTGCCTAGTAATCTTCACACAAATAAAAAATACACATACAAACCAAACACACAGTATTGAACACAACTTTTCCACCACAAAACTTTGTTCCTCCTCCTCTGAACTCACTGTCATCGTCATCAGAGTCAAGCGCCTCCTCCCTGTCTCCATCGTTGCTCTCCCTCCTCTCTCCATCCTTGTATCCTATACCCGTCTCCCCGTTGAAAGTCTCTTCTTGTAGGATCTTCTTCTCCCTCGGAGGCGGCGGCGTGCAGGGGTAGTCATGGAACCGCGGGAAGAAGTCTGAGATCTGCGGGATGGGGAGGATAGGGCCTGGGCACACGTTGATGGCAAAGTGCTCCTGCATAGAGATCTTGACTGGCGAGGGAGGGGGCAGAGCGGTGGAGTGGGGCGTCGCCAAGGGGGAGGAGGCGGATGAGGAAGGGGTGGAAGTTGAGGAAGGGGGAATGGCCAGGTGAGAGGTGGACGGGGGCGGCGGAGGTTTGGAGACGCTCATGTGGACTGTCAAACGGGACTGTGGGATGGCAATTTAAGGGTGAGACGAAGAGAGAAAGAAATGAATGAGGAAAGAAAAAGAGAATAACAGCAGGGATCATAGCAAAGGGGAGGAACAAGAGGCTCAGAACTAGAAGAGAAAAACAAAACAACAGTCATATCCTCTGCCTCCTCTGAGTTTCCAATATTCCTCTTTCTGTGAGTTTGCACAGCAGCAGCAGCAGAAGCAGCAGTAAGGGTCAGTTCTATTCAAGGCAAGTCAGCGTTGGCAATATGTTAAAATTCACAGCACACCTGAAACATCCTAGAGAAAACTGAAATAGGGTGTCTGTTTTCATCCGTTGACGCAAACCTGACTTTTCAAATGCCAAAATAGAATTTGCCAGAACCTTTGCCACTTCAAGTGTGACTCACACATTGTGTCAGCACACCAAGTCTGTGCTCTGAATTAATATTCAAATGCAGTGCTGTAAAGTGTGAACAAGTGATGTCACTTGTGTATCTGCTCTTCACTCTAATCCTTCCCTTATCTCCCTCTTTCACTCCTCTCTCTCTCATCTGGAAGTACCCTGAGCAATATTTACATAATAGTATTTGAAGCCTTTCTCAGTCCTTAGCATATTTGTCACTAAATGAAGCGTAATAACTGTTACCAAACTCCAACCTCGCTAAACCAAATGCTAACGTTTCCTATTTTCCTAACAGTGATTAAGCGAGACTGAAGACATCTTTTCTCTTATGCGCTCCCACAGTGCCCTGGTGTCCTATTTCAAAAACTAGTTTGATTTCAGGGATCGCAGTGAAGAACTTCAAACCGGGACGTGACAATGATTCCTTTGTTTACTGGTGCTGTCCCAGATTAAAAACTTTAAACTATTATAAACAAAAAGATAGATAACAAAAAATCATATGAGGTAAAAATAGAACCAGTATACAGAATCCACTTATGAACAAGCACCTACTAACACAACTAAATCACTGCTAACTAGGCAGGTCATCTGAGGCAGCATGTCACTTGTCATCCCCCTTACTCATTGCATATATGCATCATGTTGCTGCTGTTTAGTGTCAACTTGCAACCCCTGCCCCTTTATGTTTGTGCTTAGTCGTCATGATTTTCATCGTCATCTATATTTCCACTTGAATGAAATAGTTTTGACTGATGCATCTGTCATGTGGAAAACGCAAATTAAAAGCCACTTGGGAGTGTGGTGTCCACAGGAGCACTGTTTTTGGTCTTGTGTTGATTTGAAAACTCGTCAACTGATTCATCGTTCTGTTTATAAAAGGACAGAAACTAGTGAAAAATGCCTAGTTCCCAGAGTCCAAGCTAGCGTCTTGAAAACGCTCGTCTTATCTAACTAACAGTTCCAGAGATATTCCATTTTTAATAATATAAAGCAAATCTTCACATTTGAGAAGCTGGAAACAGAGAGTGTTTTTGCTTGAAAAATGAAAATTGCTGCAGATGAATTTTCTTGCCGATCAACTAATGAATAACTTGTTTCAGCTCTATAGAAGTTATCTTCCAACCATCTTTCATAGCTGCCTTTGCAACAGTGTCAAGATAATTTCACTATGTGTTTAAATGATCTTGTATGTCCTCCTCTGTGTTGTCTTATACAGCATGCATGTTGCCAATAGATTCTCTGACTCTGCCTTTACATTTGAAGTGTCACAAGTGCATGTAGAGGCCACGCAAAAATCAGAAACAGAGCATAACAGGTACTGAGGGGATTCCTCAGTGTAGGTGAAAATACTAGGATTTTACTTTGCTTTGTTTACATCAGTATTGCTGCAACTCAGCACCCTCCGTGCACCATAAAACATATTGACTCTCTCCATCTTACACACTCTGACATACATGTTTATATACTGAACACACTGAAGCGAGTCAACACACCATCCAAATACAAACAGAACAAACTCAGACTTAACTCAATTGTAAACGTGCATTTCCTACAACACATCCCTCCTTCCTCACTATCCTAAGTTACAGTACTTAAACAGACTCTCTCGCTCTCTCTCTCACACACACACACACACACACACACTCACACACACACACACACACACACACACACATACTCACACACACACACATACGTGCGTTAAGACCCTACACACAGATAAAGACCCCAAACTGCCTGGTCTCTTCGTCAATACCTACACTCATTCAGTCACTGCTCTTATGTAACAACTCCCAAATTCACTGCTTGGGTACCAGCGTACAAATGATCACTTGCAGCATGTTGCTTACAAACTCAATTGCTCTCACCCCTCTTACATACAGCACATGCAAGCACATGTGTACGCACGTTCACACACACACACACACACACACACACACACACACACACACACACACACACACACACACACGCACAAATATAGCCATCCACAAATACGTACCCAGGGACAGTCTTCATCTGTGCCAGCACTCCATCTTGCCTGCTCTCACGTCCTCTGTCTCACACACTGAAGAGCATGCAGACCAGCTTCAGAGTCAATATATCCCGCTGTACTCTCTCTCTCTCCCTGTCTGTGTTCGTTTGTTCTCCTCCTCTCCTCTCCTCTCCTCCGCCCCTCCCGCTTTCCCTTCCCCTTTAGTTGTGACGTATCTGGTTAAAATCCCCATCAGCCGTTTGCAGACTGTGCATATAGTGCTGTCACTCACTTTCTCAGCAGTGAGGAGATTTCAGGAAACCCGGGAAAAAGGGGGGGGGGGGGCTGCAAAGAGAGAGAAAGTCACAGCAGAACAAGACAGAGAAACAGATGAGGAGACAAACTGACATCATACAGAGGCGCAGACAGACACAAAGACACACTAGCAAAATAAAACACACCGAGAAGCATATATATATATATATATATATATATGTACATATATACACAGTGGATGCAGAAGAAAATGGTTGTGAAAACATTGCAAGCACACACAAGGAAATATTGCCCTGGGATGAGAAAAAAATCCACCAGCTGAAGGACAGAGAGAGGAAATTAAATTCAACATGTTGACTGAACTGAACAAAATACTGCCAGATTACTTTGTGTTGGCTATCACTATGGCCAATATCAGCCAAGCATAATGGTTGTTTTTGTGTGTGTTTGTGTTTTGTCTGTATTCGTCCAACTGTGGCAGCCCTCGTAGTATTGGCCGACACCTGCCACAGTAATAAAATGAATCAAGGACAACAATACATCAATAACAGTGCTGGCTGACACTGCAGTAAATTACTGGTGGACACAAGAATGAATAGATGAATGAGAACACTAGGGAATGCATGCATGGGTATTTACAAAAAAACATGAGTGTATGTGTATCCCTAATGTTGTGTTTGGGATCGTGGAGACAAGAACATAATGTTTTATCAACTTGGCACTTAATTAGTTTTCCAGTTTTCTTTACGAGAATTACTTGAAAACATGATTTTGAGCTGATAACATGTTTGCTAAAGGGTGGCACAGGAGTGGATTTTCTCTCAAGGCATTTGGATTTCTGTTGTGAAAGTTTTATACCAGGTAAAAATTGTTTTTTATAAGAGGTTTAACAGGGAGTTTAACCTGTCTGAGGTGCAATTGATCCCAAACATAGGTAACATCACAACGTATTTTTTAGTCTATCAATGACTTTTTGGCAAACAAAGGACTATTTATTAGTTCATAGCCCATAGCCAATAAAAACATGCTTTATTTTGTCACCTTCATCAAATGTTTGTAGCAAAGGGAAGGGACACCACTTAAATATGTGCCTATGGGTTTAATGGGCTTTACATCAGAAGAGAAGACAACAATATTTGAAGGAAAAATATTGGCTGATTTTGCTATTATGCTTTTTTTTAAAGTAAAAGTGGGGTTTGTGGGTTTGAAAACAAGGAGGAAATGAAGCTTAAAAACAAGGGTCAAAGGGAAAAAATCAAAATAATTGAAATGAAAAAGCATGAACTTCAAGCTTCGAAAGATTAGAAATGGACATAAAAATCAAAGAAGAAAAAACTCATTACGAAAGTGAGTTAAAAACACATTTTCTTTGTCACATATAGCCAGAGAGCTCCTTTGATTATAGTAGAGAATTTATAAACATTTCAGTGACGTATTACTGATTGGAAAACCATCAGAGCAGTAAATTGATTACTATTTAATTTTCCACTGTTGAAAATTAACAGACAAGAAGCCTGGTAAATTAAATTAATGGTCAGCTGGAAGGAGGAGTGGGTAAATACATGTGGACGCATGTGCTTGTCCATTTGTAAACACTTTGATTTACTTTGGGCATCTCATTACTAACAGCATCACTTCATCAATATTGTTTTAACAGACCATTACACTGTATATTCATTAATTAGCAAAAGGAACATGAAGGCTAAATTATTTGAAATTAGATAAATGAATGCTAAGTCTACCAATGCCAAACTATAAATAGGTGCTTTAGACACGGGCTACTTTGGTCTTTGTGGCTTGAAATTAATGCATAAGTGCTGCTGAGTCAAAAGATGACAGAATCCTCTCATGGTCTGCATGGAGCTGGTTTCTACAGAGCTGCTCAGCCATTTGGTGAAAACGAAAATGCACACGCGTGAAACTGTGCATAGGTGAGTGCTTGCTCCACCCACAGCAGCAGTTATCAGGCAGCTACAGAGCTCTCAGAGCTGATCTGCTGACCACCAAAACTCTCAGACTCTCTCAAAGTGGCTGGAAACCCAAGAGACACACTGAACCGTACTGAGAGGGCTCTTACTGCAGTCTATGTTTAGGTGAGGGGTGATTTACACAGAATTACAGATTTCTTTTTGTTTTCAAAATCTTTTTATTTCCAAAAAGTGTAAAATAACCAGCACCTAGTAGTAAACATACAATTTCCTCTAGCCTTCTCTCTACTTGCAAATGCCCAAGTAAACTGCACTTTATGTACCTTACATCTTGTATTTTCAGAAGGTATCCTCAAGCTTTGTTAAATTGAAACATGTCAAGTTGTACTTGTGTGTATCTTAGAGGTTGTATTCAAGATAATTACATTGA